TTTACTTAGGATGTTAATTTTATTTTATTTTTAAGTTAATATTTTTATTGCATTTTTTCCTTGAATTTTTCTTTTTAACCAATAGCTATTGAAGAGTATTATTTTTTCTATTTTATTTCACCTTTTTTTTTCTATTTCCTCCAAAATTAACATTAGCTATATTTGGCAGCAGTTCAATATTTAAAAGAAAAATAAAAAAGATCCCACGTAAAAAAAAAGTAATTAGGAAGAACTTTTTTTCCCTATATTTATGGACAAGATAATATGTTGCTAAGATTGTGAGATTATAATAATTTTTAATACTAAATATATATTGTATTTATTAGTTAAATCATGGTTAGAGATTTACTTTGAAAAATTAAATCTTAACCATTTATTTTAACCTATGTCATGTGTGATTAATCCAAATAGGAGCTTGGGGTAAATGAAGAGAAGAGAAATGGAGAGGAGCCGAATCCATAATAATTCATTTATTAACCATAAAGCACTGCCAAAGCACCACTATCACTTCATTGGAATTGCAACTGAAAAGAAAATACTTCTACTTAAGTATATATAAACACTACGAAATTATTCAAAACAGCAAATTAATCAAAGCAATCACACTTACTAATAATTAATTAACATCGATTAATTCGACCATTAATTAATTTAACTCCGGCAACGAGTAATAGCACTGCAGTCACGTGTATACGGATTAGCTTCAGCACCCGTCTTGCAGTTATAATACGACGCACCTCTTCTAGAACACGGAACACTGTTACTCTGCAGCGCACCATAGCTTATATAATCAGTAGTTGCTAATATACGCCTATTGCTCTCCGAATCCATTTCGAATTCTCCGGCAGCCATACACTCCGCTATCGAACCTTCACAGCTGTCGGCGGATTTCATTGGAACCCAACCGCTCACGTCGAAATCACCGCCGGTAGCATCGCCGGGGATAATCAAAGCTGCGATCAACAATGAAGAGATGATGAAAATGGAGGAAAAGGAATTCACCGCCATTGTTGATAAATTTTTCAATGCTGATCGGTGCGTTATCTTCCTTCTCTCTTACTCAATATATATAGAGAAAAAAAACAACAACTGGATTATTTTATTTTTTTCTGTAAGTTCTAACTACTACTGCTACTGCTACCATATTCTCACTGTTTTTAGCTCAACGACAATAGGGCGGGATTGGGATACTATATGGATTTTAAAGTATTTTTTGCCTTTTTTGTGAAACGGTGTCCATGTTGTCTGTATTTACCAAAGTGCCACTCTCAAAATTAATGCATGTCCAAAATATATTTGACTCTAGTGCTAAAGTAAGGGTGTGCAAAAATCGAACAAATTTTTTTTTATTGGGGTATTGAGTTAATGGATTTTTAATGATTTTATATATAAAAAAATTATTGTGTTATTAATTCGGTTTCGATTTTTAATATTGTGTTATTGGGTAAACCTATTAAGGCGATAGTAATTTCTTACTCTACCCTTCGTAAATATTAAATATGAGTAATTATTAACATAACTAGACACTATATCAGTGTTCACTCTCTCTACAATCTACATAATTAAATATTATCTTTCTACTTTCACTATATCAAAACATTTACAACTGATTTGTTTGTTTCACTATATCAAAGCATTTACAACTATTTGCTTGTTTCACTGTATCGCGCCAAATTGTTAGAGAAGGGAGAAGTCGTATATTTATTTTATGAGTATTTACTCATTAGGTAAATCAAAAGCCGAACCGTTAATGACCAAAAACGATAAATCGAAAATCGACAAAAATATCTTATTGATTTGTTATTGGTTTAGCATAGTTTAAAATCGAAAACCGATAAACCGAACTGAACAGACCGATGCACACCCATATGCTAAGATGTGTTTGGTAGGAAGGAAAATATTTTTTAGGGTAATAAACATTTGCATACCATAATTTAGATAAATATTATGAGAGGTGGATAGTGATGAAGCTAAAAATTTCATTGAAGGTGTGCACATAAAACACATAATTTTTTACCTATATATTTTCTATCATTTTTTATATACACGATATAATTTTTCGATTAAGAGAGTTCGATTGACCATCCATCACTACATGTAGCTACGCCAGTGAAGGTGGGGATGATGTGGATAGGGGCTATGGGGTGAAGTGAAGATGAGTTGTGTTGGATGATGGGGAGGACATTATGTAAAATGCTACTTGCGTAAAACTTATTTTATCTACGTTCATTAGAAAAAATAAATCATTTTTCTCAATTTATAAAACTAATTTTCCTAAGTATATAATTATGTGGGAAGGATTTTTAAGTGTAAAGTTGAGTTTTTATAGTGGGAAAATAGTTAATAGTTGTGATCCAAAGGATTCACCGTCATAGTTATAATCCCAACATTCTCGAAAACAATTTCACCATATGAATGCACATGAACCACTTGTATCAATAATTAACGTGTTACTAATTACAAAAATAAAATAAAAAATCCAAGATTAAGGGTATATGAAAGAAAATCATTTATCTACATTTGGTGTTTGCACCAACTTAATTATGAGCTGCTCATGATTTAAAAAAACACAAATCATGTCTTCTACGTAATTTTATTATATTAATATTGTTCAGATCATTTTATGTACATCTCAATTATTTGATTTCTCCCATCAACACAGATATCAAATATTGAATAATGTGTATTCTCATGCATGTAGCATACACATTGAATGTGAACAATTTCTTTTTTTATATTAAAATTTATTTTCATTATAATTTGAAAAATAAAATATAATGAAATTTAGGGGAAAGTAGAGTTTATTATTAGAAGTATATGGTCATATTGATTTAGTATAAGAGTTTAGTTGTCCTAATCTTAGACCTAATCATAATATATAATGATAGTGGACGTAAGGAAAATCAAGGATTATGGTGGTCGGAGAAGAAATAATATTAATTTCAATGGATATAATAATACTACTAATAATAATAATAATAATATGATATTAATTCAAATGAAAAATGAAGCTTCTTTGGTAATGGGTTTCGTTTATTTACCAGTTCAAACGCGTTACTCATTGCTGTTGGAAAGTTCAAGTCATCATCAAAATAGATGAACCTTTCAAAACCTACCAAAGAAAATGATGCCAATCTTTCTATATTATTATTATTATTATTATTATAGATTAATTTATTATATTTTCTTTGTTATAAAATTTTTCTTCTAAAGAATTGTTTGGTCTTTTCATACTTTAGTAGTTAGCAAATTGTTTCGTATTTATCCTTTGTTATATACGTAGCTCCAATGCAAAATAGATACTCCATGTGTCTAAATTTTTCAAAATTAAAAAAGAACGAAAAAATTCAACTCAAGGAGAGTTGATTTTGTAATTCACTAGCATATTTTTTCTTCTAGAAATTTTCATTTTTACACAAACATTTTTTAAAAATCATTTTCTTCCATTCGTTTTAAATGGTCAAGAAATCTTAATTTCTCCCTAACTTTAATTATGATTTAAAATTATCCTTAAGAGTCCTATAAAGGGTCTGAGGTAAAAACTTTTTCAAATAGTGAGGAATATTAGGCCAAAAATCAAAGAGAAGGCAAAATTGCTTAATTTTGGATAGTTCAAGGGCAAATTGGTTTTTTCAATAATAAATTCTTCCCATTTGTTTTAATTTTGGTGGACGTTACCTGATATTTGTTTATGGTGGAATGTGATAGATATCCCGTAAAATTAATTAAGGTACGAGAAAGTTTGTCCGGAAAAAAAAACACTATATTATTTACCGAGTCAAACAATTTTTTCCCGAAATTGACCGACTTCAAACATGTTTTAAATAATGTTATGATTAATAGTAGTACTTTTTATATAGGCTAAAATATGTCAAATGTTACTTAAAGCAAAAATAAGAAATTGATACCATGGCTATTCTTTAGAATAAAGTCCCAGGAGAAATCCTTGAAAGAAAATATGTCTAGGTGCCTTGTAGAATAGTAAATCATCACATCTATTCTCGAGATTTTAAATTTTTCATAATCTAATAAAAATTACACAAATATTTGAGTACACAAGTTTTTTTTTTAAAAAAAAATGCATCAAGCAGAGTGACCGTGCAGGCAAAGGAGGGACTCAAATTTTCTAAGGAATAAAATAATGCGCAATCATCTTGGTCTCTTCAACCAAGACAATTCGACGGAATTCAGTAATTTTGGTTTAAAGTTATATTTATTTTAAACAATTTATTAATACGTCTAGATTTTTAATTTAGAATTCAGTAACTCAAAAAGACTAAAATTCGATATATTGAAATTCATGGTCTGCCTTCACCTTATACTGTAGTTTAATATGCAAAAGTCTTCCTGGCAAAGTTATTACAGTATTTTTTTATTGGAGTAGGTTTAGAATATCTTTCTCGTTGGAACCATTCCAGTTTAAATAGTTTTTTCTTTTCTCGTTTTTATTAAAAAAGACTTAGGTTAATATTAGAAACAGATGGATCCATTAACAAATTATGAACTAAAACTCAGTTTGAACGTCTGCAAGAAACTAAATAATAATATTATTTCTCAAAGAAGTCAACTACATAGCAGAAATTACTTCCCAGCTCATTAGAAATATTTTCTCTTGTTTTTCCTTCTTTGTCCAGTTGATTGTCCCAACATTCAATAAAGATACAAAAACCAAGACTTCAAAGTTGTATGCAGTAGTGAAGCTAGAAATTCCAGTAAGGATGTTCAAGATTTAATGCGTGTTTTTGTGTGTGTGAGATTGATTATCTTTGACCTACATATGCAGTATAATTTTCCGGTGAAGGGGTTCAACTGACCATCCTTCTGCATACATAGGCCTATGCTTGTATGACAAAAGTGCTAACCAAAGTTACATATCTGATCGTGTCATAAAAAAGTGACGAATAGTGGTAACTCCACCTTTAGCTTCAACAATAGATGAATAACTATTAGTTCCATTGTTTGGATTTCTATTTCCTATGAAATTTCATTTCCTTTGGATATTCATCTGGCAAATATCAATATCAATTTATAGAATTATAGTACAGTATATGTTCGTGAAAAAATGGAACGTAAAACAGACAAGCTCGACAGGCATCAATTAGTGCCTTTTATATTTCAAGTAAGGAGACTGACCGAAAATACACCAGGTAGTGAAAAGATTTTAGCACTCAGCAAGAGAAACTTGTATTATCTTTCTAGCTTGCTTAATATTGCTTCCATTGGAGGCAGTTCCTTTAAAATTTGAGCCCAGTCAGGCATTCCCTGCAGAGTTGGTCAATATTAAAATCGAAGAATTAACCCATAAGAATAGTAAATTATACTTTTCTGGATACAGTCATCTATGTCATGTCATGAGCAATTTATGTGCTGATTATGTGTGCATATAAGCACATCATTGAGTCAAGATTAATGGAGCAAAGAAGAGAATTGCAGCAATTCTTTTTAAACAAGTACTGACCTTTCCTGATCGTCGAACACGACCATCTAGACGAAGTATAATGTAGACATCTTCGCCAGGAGTCACACCTTCAGACTTCTGTTGATCCCTTATCCACCTGAAATAGATTTGAAGTCAAACAATACATCTGGTACAAGGGAAAAAATTTCAGTCGATCAAACTGTGTGATAGGATGTCCAAAAATTAAAGTGGCACAAACATAAATGCACATGACTATGATGTGATGAGTAGTTTTCAAGTGTAAGCGGAACAGGTAGATATACCTTTCCCACTCTGTAGGTGAAACGACCTCCGCCTTGAACCGGATCTCTGACTTCAGTTTTGATTTTGCAATTATTGACTGAGTTCTTTGGTCAAAATCTTCCTACAGATTGGACAAAAATAAGAAAACCTGAACGAGATACATGCACCATTAAGATTATTGTCTTATGCTTGTTGAGCAACAAGAAACGACTTTCAGTAATCCTGTAGCATGTAAAAAATATATTTTGGACTTTGAGCAAATAGAAAGCAGAATCATGAACTTGACGTGCATGCTATAGCATCATGTTGTTTAAAAATGATCATTAAGTGCTACTTTCAATCTTACCCCTATGGATGGGAGGGAAGCAACTGCCTTTTGCGAAAGACCAAAACCTTTCTTCTCTATTTTTGTTTCCCTGCCTTCACCCCAAATAACAGGAACTAGAAGGACTCCGCGTTTAAGAAGCTCAGTACGGAATTTCTCAGCATTTCTCATAGCCAGAGAGACTGTCTCCTTTTTTCCAGCCAAAATAACCTAACAACAAGCAACTGGTCAAACTCCAAATACGAGGAGACAATATGTTCGAGTCAGGCATTTTAGAAAAAGAAATAGAGATACAGAGAGAACAAATAAAGGGATATCTTTTTTCTCATGAAATATAGGCATTTGTTGCAAACCTAGCAAAAAATGCTACTAACTTTCTGTCTTCAATCATCCCTCCGACAATGTAAATGTGATGGAAATGGATTCTTCTAATGAGGGAGGTAAACCATATCTTTTGATCTATTAAGCAGAATACATGGCAACGAGAACTAGACAAGTGACACCAGTAAAAGTTATACAGGACATCTCATTCTTCAAGGTAAAATTGAAGGACTCCTGACGTTTTCCACTCAACTTCTGGAAATTGAAAACAGGAAGAGTAAAGGGGAAGTTGTCTCACTAACAGGCCTCACGGTGTCTCTTAGCTGGACGAGTTCAACAATCCTATCAGTTGAAAGGCGCAAAGGCAGCCTTGATAGTGTTTCATCACGCAATATTTGTGCAAGCTGTTCCTCCTCTTTTTTGTTGTCCCAAAACAACAACGCCACAAAAACAACAATACCTGCAGAGTGCTGGTTCAAGAGGTTAATCATTTTTGAGAAATAGTTCTTTTCATTTAAAAGCGTAAGTTAATATAGCCAGCAAATATAATTTACCAAACTTTAGAAGTGAACTAAATGATTCGTAGCAAAGGTAGTCGTTATTTACCAGCGACATTTATAGCAGCATTTCCTGCAGTGGCCCCAAAATCAGGAGCACCATCTCCACCTTGAATTGCACGGATTAACCTGGGTATAGTGAAAAATGTAGAAATTCCAGCAGCAGCAATGAATGCCACATAGAAAAATCTTCTGACCCCCCTAAATGGTGCTTGTACCTCACTGATGAGCTTAAGGTCTCTACGGAAACTGTACCCTATGTCTTCCCCTCCTAACCTAGCCTGTGAGGTAAATAGAAGACTATGAGATTCAGAAACAATGAAGCAAAGCTAGAGCCTTGCAAAGTTCTGAAGATACTGTAACATAGTCAATGTGGTAAGGAGCTGAATTAAATTTAGACATCCAAGCATGACGAAAACTAAAGAACTATACCCTCAGTTGGAAACAAACCTCTTCCTGTAGTTCCTTAAATTCAGGCAATGCTCTGAAGGAAGCCAAATCCGGATCATTAAGGATTGTGCCAAACTTGAGGTTATACTCTTTCAAAGCAGTGCGTAAACACTCAGCAGCTTTCTTTCCTTCCCCCCTTAAGTAAATAAAGAAAATAAATAAACAAATAGAGAAGTAATAAGCGAGTGAAGAAGAATAAATAAGTACATATAGCTCCTTTGTGACGCTCATTAAAGTTTCAATATTGCATTTTACACGAGAAGAAAGCCACAAATATGTTTTTTTCCTCCATGTCTCAACATGGTTTCAAGCAAATAACTACTTGTCTTTATCCAGCTAAATCAATTCAACCATGAAAGAGGCAAAGGAGAAATATACCTGTAGGCATGGCAGCATGCTTTGTTATAAAATGCAGCTTGAGCCTCCACAGGGTTGGGATTTAAAGTAAGTGCTGTGTCGAACAGCACAAGAGCATCTTTCACCTGGAAAATATCAAATTTAATGAACAATACAGTGCATTTTGCCCATATTGCAGATTGAAATCGTAACCAACTTGTGGGAGGTTTGTACACAAACCAAAATGCAGATTATTGGAAACATAAGTAAGTGAGAAATAACAAGAAAAGCCAACTGAACAGATTTTAAATTGGTAATTTCAGAAAAGAAATATTGTTGATTAAAAAGAAAAAAAAAATTGATTAAATAATTGACCAGACATTAACAAATCGATAGCCTTTTCCGGTAATAATTGTGATTCAACCTACTAGATGCTATCGGCTATCCTTAAGCTTGCTATGCAGGATCAAATAGAGATACACAAGAAACTATAACTCAGACATTCAAGCTTCTGACGTGTACAAGATTATAAATAGAAAAACTCGTTGAGTAGGAAAATCTTCGAATCATCAATCTTTTGGTAAATTTTTAGTTTTAGACAGAGTGTGCTTGATGTAGTGAAAAATAAAATAAAATAAAGATGAATGCAAAGAACTATTTGCAGCAAATCCATAAAGGTTAGAGAAAATGCTGTGACTGTTTACTAGGTAAAACAACAGAAATGACAGTTCATAATCTCATGGTGCACATGTGTTCTTGATTCCATTATATGAAACAGATAGTGGTACGGTTTGCAGCAAAAACAAGCATGCTTAATGTGGATGCCACGTTAAACTGTGACAAAACACCAACAATATTATTTGAGGAAGAGACATCAAAGCTTACTGTAATTTTCTTTCCGATTGTAGTTCTTCCTAGTCCATCTATCTCAATTTATGTGACACATTTTCTCGTTTGATGTCATTTTTACAATCTTAGCATTATTATAAAGTTCCAGTCATAAGCATTTTGAAATCTAGTTGTTGTTGCAGATAAAATCTGAATGTACCTTTCAATTTTTCAAGTCACTGTCAAAAGTCCACTCTCGGCCATTTTCCAACAAAGCATGATTAGGGCGGGTGTTAAGTGTAGGGGCAGAGGCGCGGAGCCACCCCTTCAGCTATTGGTTCGACAAAACCCAGTAGCTTTGGCTCAAACCTCATAGTTATGTTTAAAAAGTTCATTTGCTATGTATAAATAATATATTCAAAACTCATAAACTAAAAATCCTAAATCCTAGCTCCACCTCTGAGTGCAATTGTTACCATAAGATTTACTCAAAACATGAAATTTTTTTAATATACATGTCAAACAAGTAAACTTGCTCAAGTTGCAGACTCTTGGAGAACACTTGCCCTAACCAAAACTCTCAAAGCCCCTATGACTATATTGCGAATGTTGATTAAGTTAGAAGGAACGAGCCTCAATTTATAGAATCCTAAACATTTTTCTACAAGAAAAGGACTAGCCAAATATGGAGACACTTTATAAACCTATTTATGATAAGAAACTCAGTCAAATATCCAACAGCAGACTCTTGGAGAACACTTGAGGAAACTTAGGTAACAAATACAAGGGAATAATATGACTGCAAATGATCAAATGATGGGGCTATTAAAACTTGAAATCAAAACTTCTATTGTCATTTATCAAATTAAATTGCATGAATTAAGAGAAATCCCTTTTATTTACTAGCTTAATTTATTTGATGTCTACAACGAGTGGCGGAGCTACAACATGAAGTATATCTGTGTTAAAAAAATATCTATAAATAAACCAAAAGAATTATGGTCACGAACCTCAATCCACCTTCTCTCTGTCTAAATCAACAAGAATAACAATACAACAACAACATACTTAGTGTAGTCTCATAAAGCATAATGTGTATACCTTATCATAGTTTCTAATAGACCTGAAAAACAATGCAATCATAAAATAATTAAGGAGGTTCTGCTGCCATGAAATTGAAAGAGAATTAGGAAAATACCCGTCCTTTAGAGAAGAGGTCGAGGCCGGCATTGACGCAGGACTCAGCAGTGGGAGTGGGTTCACTGACTTGGGGCGACGACGATGATGGCGGAGGGGGCGAAGTAGAAGAAGAACAAATGACAAGTGAAATACGATTCTTTGGGGGGGAATTTAGGCATAGTTGTGTAGTAATTGAGAATTTGGAAGATGCTGAAGAGAAGAAGCAGAAAAGGAGGTGATGGGAGGAGGGAAGAGTTGCAATGGCCATGTCAAGATTTATCCATTCGCACCACGCCTTACACTTCTTGTGGTTTTCATAAAAGGCTTTAAAATATGGACTTTTTTTAGAGTTAGTGTTAAATCATTTACATGCCATTTTTAAAAACATCAATTAAAAGAATGTTTGATTGTTTCTTTATTAAATATTTATTTTATTTATGTATTGTAATAAGTCTGTTTATTTTATACAAAATACTTTCTTCGTTCGCTTTAGATTTTGCACACTTTTTAAGAAATGATTATTGATATGAGTATTTAACCATAATCAGGAGCGGACCCACATGTGTTCCAGGGGTTCACCCGAACCCCCTCGTTAAAAAATTACATTGTATATATAAGGTAAATTTTATGTATTTATATATATAATGAACCCCCTCAATAGATAGCCCAGCGGCAAGTTCCTTCAAAACTAAGCGTGACGGTCCAGAGTTCGAATCCCCTGGCTAGCGTTTTACTTTTTTTAGTTTCAGTTTTTTTTTTTAAGTTCTAGTTCCCTTTTTTACGTTATATATATATATATATATATAAATAAAACATGCTAAAAGTGTGGTTTTAAAGCCAAGAGAATTCAAGGGTCCCATTCCTTGAAAAAAAATTGTTGGCTTATTTACACGTTTATACTTTTATTTTTCGAACCCCCTGAATGAAAATCATGGGTCTGCCACTGACCATAATACACATATTAATTGATGTTTATTACTAAATCTTGGAATATGATTTGAGGAATAAGTAATTAATATTAAGGATAAAACATGATTTTTTTTTCTTGATATGTCAAAAGTATTGAGAAAAAATGAAAATCTATTTAAAAAATGATTAGAGATCTATAGCTATAGTTTGCTTTATGAATTACAACTACATGTTTGGGGGAGGAGAGAGCAAGCGAGACTAGGAAAATGGGGTTGTTCAAAATCGAACCGTAATCGATAAGTAAAACAACAACAACAACAACATACCCAGTGAAATCCCACAAAGTGGGGTCTGGGGAGGGTAGAGTGTACGCAGACCTTACCACTACCTCGTGGAGGTAGAGAGGCTGTTTCCGGTGGACCCTCGGCTCAAGTACATCCAAACCAAGCAAGAGGAGAGGAAACATTATATATAACATAACATCCAATAAGGGGAAAAAGGTGCATAATCAACAACGGCGGCAATAACATCAAGCAAGTATTGTGTGTAACGACCCATTTGGTCGTTTTGAGTGCTAGAGCTTTTTATTTCAAAAAATACTTTTCGATAGATTCTAAATGGATATTTTGGACTATTCATAACTACAATTATAGAATTAATGGGGTGCTTTTAATAATTTATTTAGTTGGTGGTTAAAGAAAATAACATTAAAATTTATAGTGGGTCACTTTCACACTTTTATAGTTGGTCTTATATAATAATTAAGGAGTAAATATTCTGTAGAAATAAATTATAGGGTTTAGTAGTTATGTAATTATTAATTAGTGGATAATTATTAACCCTAAATAATTAAAAGAGGAGAAAAGAAGACTTACAACCGAGCGAATCCTTACCTGCGGCGTCGAAGAAGTACCAGCGAATCAGGTAAAGAATCAACCAAATCATAACTCTTGTGTATTTTATGTATGAACATAGATTGTATGATTAATTATTTAATAATGGGGTGAAAGAATCAGAAACAGATATATAGATGGTGCTGCTTTGAACTTGGGTGGTAATTAATGATAGGAAAAGTTGGGTGGAAATCCTTGGAATGCATTAATTACTCATTAGTCTTATATATTCAATTCTATTGTTGTCCAATTTTAGTAAATGTTAGGCGCTAATTCATATTATTATTATTATTATTATTATTATTATTATTATTATTATTATTATAATGTTGGGGGCAAGAAAATTGAGGTGTTGTATTTATAAGGGTGTGTGTATTGATATGACTAATGGAAAATATAATCAGTAACTAAAGTTCCTAATTGGGGCAACTGATTGGAGTACTGGTTGTGAGAATATTTTATAGGAGTAAGGTCATCATGGAATCTGGGTATTGCCATCGTGCAATATTTATGCAGGAGTATGGTTGAGGGTTGGCTGCCACTGGTTTCGTAACAGGTGGCTTCAAACATTTAATATTAGTATTGTGTTCTCGTATTATAAATTATAATTCGACATATTGAGATAGGTAATTAAATATAAGGCATAATATATTAATTGAAAGTTATGCAAATTGGAGGAAAATTGATTATGGAATCGGGTGAAATTTTGGGTCTAGGCTAGACATATAGTAACGTGGGTGGTGTCTATAGATTCGTTAACTTACAAATTATGCATACTTGATAGATTGGAAACGTTCGAAGGTGTTAAGGAAAGGAAAGGCATTGGAGAAGTAGCTTGCCTGACGTCAGTTCTTCGGTGGAGGTAGGTTATGGTTTATTCTATTTGATAGATAAACTCTTAATAGCGATTGATATGCATTGAATGATACTGTGAAGTTCTCTATGTACTTGATTGTGTGATTGTGTAGCTTGGTTGTGTGGTTTGTGATTGGTCTAAAATCCTGAGACCGTGAGATTATAATCTGAAAACTTTTCTATCGAAGTGATGCCTTGAATAAAGAAGGCATGATGTAATATTATTAATGAATTGAAAAGTGGTGATAATAAATGATAAATTAATAATATTATTGGATCGGAGTGTCACGTTCCGACACGGTATTTTTGGATCGGAGTGTCACGTTCTGACACGGTAACATTAAAGGAAAAAGATATTGAATTAACTTAATGTACTCAATCTCAATGAACGCATTTCCCAAACGAGTGTGATGTGGAGGCATGAGTCCTCGCGTGTGTGCTTGATATTGTGATTGATTACGTACTTGTTTTAACTGTCACTTGTTCATGTTGTTGTTTCTTATCACCTGCTCAGTGCTATAGTTGACTTTATACTATTATTCATTGTATATTAGTTTCTATTTTGGGTTGGCCGATGATACCTACTCAGTACATGTTGCCCCGTACTGATCCCTACTTGTATTTTTCTTTGTTTTCCTTTTATGGAGTGCAGCGAGTGTACCAGCAAATTTGACTAGCCCTCAGCTCTAGCCAGTCTCAGAATATCGGGTTTAAGGGTGAGCTATGCATTCGAGCTTGTGTTGGATTCTCTCAGTCATGACTTGATGTCCATAGTTTTCGGACACAAATTGCTCTATTTCATTTATTTCGGTGTCTTTGATACTCTTAGACTTAGTATTTAGAGATTAGATGTCCTTGATGTGATGATTTTCAGATTTTGGGGATAATATGTAATAGACTTTAGAGGTTTATTTGATTGGTTACTTTAATAAGTTTTGGAGCTTCCGCGTTATTGTTGCTATTAGTAGTTGAATTATTGGTATGTGTTGGGGTTTAGATTCCTTGGTCCGCCCACTTAGGAGGTTAAGTGTGGGTGCCACTCATGACTCAATTTGGGTCGTGACATTGTGAGAGGCGAAGCGCAGTAAACAACATATGACTATAGGATCACAGACAAGAACTACGAGTGCCAGGCTATGACTACTACAAACCCTACCAACCCATACCCTCACAAGGAAAGACAACCCGCTAACCCTACTAACCTTCAACCTTAATACGCGACCTCCACTCCTTCCTATCTAGAGTCATGTCCTCGGTGATGTGAAGCTGAGCCAAGTCCTGTCTAATCACCTCTCCCCAATACTTTCTAGGCCTACCTCTACCCCTCCGCGTACCCTCTACCACCAGCCCCTCGCACCTCCTCACTGGAGCGTCTGCGCTCCGCCTCTTCACATGCCCAAACCATCTCAGTCTCGCTTCCCTCAGCTTGTCCACCACATGAGCCACTCCTACCTTCTCCCGGATAACCTCATTCCTAATCTTATCGCTCCTAGTGTGCCCACACATCCATCTCAACATCCTCATCTCCGCAACATGCAATTTTTGAACATGTGAGTTCTTGACTGGCCAACACTCCGCTCCATACAACAAGGCCGGTCTAACTACCACTCTATAGAACTTACCTTTAAGTTTAGGTGGAACTTTCTTATCACACAAGACTCCAGAAGCAAGCCTCAATTTCATCCAAGCAGCCCCTATGCGATGTGTGACATCATCGTCAATGTCACCGCTTCCTTGGATTACAGCCCCAAGATACTTAAAACTTTCTTTCTTAGGAATGATTTGTGTGTCAAGTTTCACTTCCCTATCTGCCTCATCCAACGCATCACTGAATTTGCACCTCAAATATTCCGTTTTGGTCCTACTCAACCTGAAACCTTTGGACTCCAGCGTTCGTCTCCACACCTCCAGCCTCGCATTAACTCTGTCCCGCGTCTCATCGATCAGTACTATGTCATCCGCAAATAACATACACCATGGGACCTTCTCCTGAATAGACCGCGTCAACTCATCCATTACCAAAGCAAATAGAAAAGGGCTAAGGACTGATCCCTGATGCAGCCCCATCTCAACTGGGAAATGCTCCGAGTCTCCTCCAACCGTTCTAACCCGAGTCTTGGCTCCGCCGTACATGTCCTTTATCGCCCTAATATAAATCATCGGGACACATTTAGCCTCCAAGCACCTCCAGAGGACATTCCTCGGTACTTTGTCATAGGCCTTTTCAAGGTCAATGAACACCATATGTAGGTCTCTCTTCCTCTCTCTATATTTTTCTACCATTCTTCGCATAAGATGAATGGCTTCGGTAGTCGATCGTCCCGGCATGAATCCAAACTGGTTCTCAGAAATGGACACTCCTCTTCTCACCCTCATCTCCACCACTCTTTCCCAAATCTTCATAGTATGGCTTAGCAGTTTGATACCCCTGTAGTTGTTACAGTTTTGGATATCACCCTTGTTTTTGTATAACAGAACCATTGTACTCCACTTCCATTCATCAGGCATCTTTGCTGTCTTAAAAATAACATTAAACAGCCCAGTTAACCACTCTATACCTGCCTTGTCCGTGCTCTTCCAAAATTCCACCGGAATCTCATCGGGACCGGTCGCTCTTCCCCTGCTCATCCTACTAATAGCACGTATAACCTCCTCGATCCTAAAACACCTACAGTACCCAAAGTCCCGAAGTCTTTCAGAGTGCGCCAAATCACCCAACACCATGTCTCTGTCCCCTTCTTCATTTAAAAGTTTGTGAAAGTATATTCGTCATCTTTGTTTGATTGAGGACTCTTCCACCAATACTTTGCCTTCCTCATCCTTGATACACTTCACTTGGTCCAAGTCAACTGCAAAATTGACTTATTGACTTTTTGTATTGGATTTTCGGATTAACAGTTGGTGAATGGATTAAATTCATAGTTAACAGTTTATCGATGTGGGGGCAGATTACTCAATTTCCTTATTGGGTAAACCGTTAACACGTTAAGATTTATTGTAGTTACATTTTTACAGTAAGTATATTTATTAAGTAAATACTTATGTGCATACACCCTCAAAATTTAAACTTTCATATATGTCTCACTAAGGGTGTGCAACAGTCGGTTCGATTCGGTTTTATGTATTATTTGTTCGATTTATCGTTTTCGATTTTAAAATATGTTAAACCAATAACCAAACCAATAAGATATTTTTAATCGGTTTTTGGTTTATCGGTTTTGGTCCTTAACGATTCGGTTTTCGGTTTAACCAATAAGAAAATACTTATAAAATAAATATATGATTTTTCTAATAAATTTGATGTGAAAAACCAATAATGTAACTTTACAAATGCTCATAAAATAGAACAATAATAACAAACATGAAACGAACTATACATGTGCAACACAAAGAGAAATTAAGAAGAATAGGGTTCTTACTTTAGATTTTAACGTTTTGTATAATGTGAAATTGTGAACTCAAAGTCATTGTGAAGTGTGAATTGAAGGCTAAAGGACAAAGATAGTAACTAGTAAGATATTGAGATTAATATATAATATTTATGTACAAGTAAAAGTAGTAAATTACTAGTCTTAATGGGTTATCAGTTTACCCAATAACCCAACATTAAAAACCAATACCGAACCGATAACCCAATTTTTTTTTTTTATAAAACCATTAAAAACCCGTTAACCCAATACCCCAATAACAATAAATCAATAACATTTTTATCGGTTCGGTTTTTGCACATTCCTATGTCTCACTATGATTTATTACAATTACTAAATTACCATCTTAAGTAGGGCTAGAAAAAATATTTTGTTTGATAGAGATTAATATATTGGTGAGTGAAAGTGAAAGAAGGGTGCATGGAATAGTGGATCCAATACACCATCCGATAACCGTGCGTTAATTCTTAATCTGATAATGTATCAACCGATAGCTTATTAGTTGACTAACAGATTAGTATATTTAAAATCCGATATCCGATATAAGTTAAACCATTAAGCATAATTATCTAGCTGACCCGACCAATAAACAACCTAATATGAGAGGTGAGAGAGAGAGAAACGAGATATGGGATAGAGAGGAGAGAGGCAAGAGAGTTTGAATATCTCATATATTTGTCGTATTATGTAGTATCACGAAAACAATTGATACAACTAATTTTTATCAAAATGAATACAAGTGTATCAAAAACTATTGTATTTAGCTACATATTAGGAGGAGAGACGAGCGATATCGAGTTAGGGAGGAAAAATGATGAATACGTGTTATATTTGTTGTATCGCGAATACAATTGATACAAAATACAAATATAGTTATCTGAATACAATTGATTTAATACAAATCTCTCACATATATTTGGTTGAATACAATTGATACATTTTAGATTTGACAAAGAGGATGAATGCATATTGTATTCGTTGTATCATTTTTTTTATATTACAAATACAATTGATTTGTATCATATATCAAATATAATTGTATCAACTGTATTAACGAACACAATAATCGACGAATACAATTGGAAAAATATAAATTGTCATAATACAATTGATACATAGTACAAATACAGTTGATATAGAATACAAATACATTTGATACATGATACAAAATACAATTGTCATATTTGTGGAATGTTTTTTGGGTTGTAATTGTTTAGGATGGAGAGAGGGATGGGCGATAGACATAGAGGGCGAGAGAACGAGAGAACGAGAGAAAGAGGGCAGTGGAAGGAGAGAGGCAAGGGAGAGAAGAGAGATAAATTTGTTATAAGACCATACTTATAGCTACAATTGTAATTATTTAAATTATAGTGATTTATCGTAAATATATATCACATGTTTGCTTTGCTATATATATATATATATTTTTTAAATAGTGAACAAATAAAAGTAAACGAAAAGAGTAATACACATGTCTAAAAGAAAATTTTCAATGTTCTTGTTAGATATCCGAGGACGACAACAACCTTATATAATTCTAAAAACGATGTTTGAGGAGGATATAACGTACACTATTGTTATCACTCTCGAGGTAGAGAAACTATTTCAAAAGACGCTTGACTCATGCAAAAGATGTAGCTATTTGGAATCAAATCATTTTTTTATAACTTTGGATAATTCTACGACTCGACCACACCTAATATATAGGAATTTTTACATAAATAATATATTTTATTTGATTAATTATGCTATTAAGTGCTAATTTATTTTAATTACCATGTATGGCATAATTTTAGATTTAATAGCCATTTGATATAAAAATGTATTAAAGTTGTATATTAGGTGAAATTCTGAAAATTGTATTAAAGTTGTGTTAAAATTATATTAAATATAAACAATCGGTGGTCTGGTGATGGTGATTACGAAAAAAAGAGGTGAAGCTCTGAAAATCTGTATTAAAGTTGTATTAAAATTGTATAAATATAAACGATAGTTATAATACAATTCGAATTTGATAATATACATTACTATAAATTTGATAATTATTATTCAGGACAAATATATTACATTTCTAACAATGTAAACTAATTTAAATAGTACCAGAATGTTTGAAATTTACATATAATATATTTGTATTAGAAATGCTTTAGTTATATATTAGGTGAAGTTAAATTGTATTAAAGTTATATTAAAACTATATTAAATATAAACAATCGGTAATTTGAAGGTGGTGATTTACCGAAAAAGAAAAGGTGAAGCTCTGAAAAATCTGTATTAAAGTTGTATAAAAAAACAGTGATAGTGGCCATGTTATTTGTGGTAAGAAAAGTAAGGTTAATCTGTGTAAGAGTAAAAGATATATTATAATTCGTAAATAAAGTTATATAGTATAAGTATTATTTATGTAAATTGCCTATATATATCCTACAACAATTTGGGCCATAAAGGAATAAACCCGGCGTTACCTGCCCCAAGTTAGAAACGGACTATCATAAAGCCCAATGGAAAAGGCCTTTTTAAAACTCTCTGTTCTCTACCGTCTCCTCTTCGCCATCCGCAGCTCATTCTAGAACAGTCAGGTTTACCCGTTGCTCCTCTTCTCTGCATTTGATCTGTTTACTCTTTACCTTTTTCTTCCGATCTGCATATTTAGGTTTTGTTATTCAATATTTTTGTTTATTTCGTACATATGGAGGATTTTTGGTGTTTTAACTGGTTAATTTTGTATTGATTAGTATAAAAGTTGCATTTGCAGGTGATTTTGCAGAATCGAAGTCTTCGTTTCCAATATCTCTTTGCCATGTGAGTAGCGGTTGATCTATTGATAATGAATCTATTCCCTCTTCATTAGTAATTTGATTTTAGTTTTACTTTTGATGTGATTTATGTGTCTCATTTAGTTTGTACAATCGATTTACTCTAATAGTAAGTTACAAATAGTATATCACTTGTGTTCTCCATACCAGGGGCGGAACCCACCTCGTTGAAAAATAACACCGTATATATATATATATATATTTGATCAGTTTTTAAAATTTTATATGTATATATTAACTTTTGAACCCACTAACACAAGTGTGACCCTTGGCAGAGTGGTGAAAAGGGTTCAATTTTCCCGGCCAGCCCAAGTTCGAATCCATGTTGCCACATTTTAGTTTTATTTTTTATATCTTGAACCCACTTCGTGAAAATCCTGGGTCCGCCACTGCTCCATACCATATGTCTTAGTTAGTTTTTCAATTTTAAACTGTGGGCTGCGGCTTTTAGGTTGTTAAAAATTGAGATTCTAATAAAAATAATACAGAAAATTTTGATCTGGAGCAATTAAAAAGATAACAAGCTCATCATCATTAGTTCATCTTTATTTTTCCAAAGAGTGAAGTGCTTGACTTAATCAACTTGAGGTTTATTGTAGATTGGAACTATAAGTTGAGAGAAAGTGAAGTTATTGGAAATCCAATAATATTATAATATTTTGTGATTTTTTCCCATTGTTTATATAATATAGCAAAACCAACAGTTTGACTATACTGATTTGTTGTTAGTTTTCCAATGTGCAAATACTTACCAGATTAACACATTTATTTAAGCTTTACTAGTGACCTTATATTCCTAATAACAAAAACAACATAACCAGTGTAATCCCATAGGTGTGGTCTAGGAGGGTGATGTTTACACAACCTTATCAAAGCAAGTATATAAGACAAATACAATAGCGAAAGGTCATGCTGAAAAACAATTAAGAAGAGAACAAGAGACAACAACAATTAATATGATAACTGAAGCAAAGGAAATAACAATAATACCACAATCGAAAAATAGGAAAGTAATAATAATAATACAGATAAGGGAATTAGACAACGTTAGACCACCTACTTACCTTCTACCCTTAACCTCATATCTTCCCATCTAGAGTCATGTCCTTTGTAAGCAGTAGGAGTGCCAAGTCCTAAGTAGATGGATGAATTATGTTCTCTGTCATGGATGGAAATTGTTTGAGTGGAGAGTGAGTGTGAGTGTCCTATTCCCGAACCTATCCTGTTGTATTTGGATTGTTACTAGTTTTAGGACTTCACCATAGCATTCAACAATTAGAAGCTTAACTTACTTTACCTTTAATTTATAATTATCAGCTTGTACGTCGTGACTGTATTAACTAACTTGGTGTTATCTGTAAATGTTAGAGGTCAAATCTTTTTCAAAATTCAACTTTCAATATCAATGTTGTTGGGGTAAAATCTTTCAACCATGGTAGCCTGCTCCTATTTCTTGTCACATAAAACATCTTAAAATTTCAATTTGGCCTAAATGCTTAGCTATATATCTTTTAAAATGAAAAATACTTAAAAGGTTTTGTAACAATATGCACAGAAGAGTGCCACAAACCCCGGTGCGTGCATCTGTATGTATGTATACACATCAGGAAATATGGTGCACTGCTGTGCCAATGCAGCACTTACTGAAAACACAAGTTCTACTTAATTCCATGTATTAAACAGCAGTGCTTTGACATAATCCTTATCCTTCCTCTGATGCAACTGCTTATTTTTAAACTTATCCTTTCTTTGGTGCAACTTCATGTATTAAAGAATACTTTCATGTCTCAACTCTAATATTTTGGACACAGCTGCATATTATTCTACCCTATTAGATTGGGTCTGGTTTGGTTTATGATTCCCCTATCTAGTAGATATTATTATATTTATTGGTTTTTAGTGAGAGGCAACGTTTTCTAGTGTACTCCATATTGAAACTTCCGATAAATCTATTAGTGATGCTTTGTCAGAGTCTTCTTCTTCTTGCTGCTTTCCTGATAACTAACTTATGTCAGAAGAATCTGATATTATTCTTAGAGCCTGTTTGAATTGCTTATTTGATGTGCTTTTAAGCACTTTTGTTGTGTTTCAGTAAAATAAAAAGCCATTATTAAAACTCCTAACTTATGATTTTTGGCTTATAAGCCTAAGCCCATCTAAACAGGCTTTTAGACTATAATCATTTAAATGATTTACAAATATTAAGCCGTTGTTACAAAATGGGAATTAAGACGTTGTTTTGGTAATTAATGACAAGTGACAACTCAGTCACTGCTGATTTTTTTATATTTTTTTTGGTAAGATATGTGAAAAAAGCTTTAATGCAAATTTGATTAGGCTACAATCCTCTAATACCACTTCTCTAGTTGTATCTGTAATTTTATATGGGTAAGAAATTTTTGAAGGATGCTTCACTCTTCAAGTCTTGGTTTATATTGTGATTTACATGCAGGATATTTTAATATGCACCAAAAAAAATAATCCTGCATGAAAGAATAGTTACATGTAGGATAGTTTCTTCCATTTGAGCTTTTGCTAATATTGTCATCTCTTAGAAGAGACATTGCTGATGGTTTTTTTTTGTTCAGGTCGGACGAGGAAGTTGTTGACCCAAAGGCAACACTGGAAGTAAGTTGCAAACCTAAGTGTGTAAGGCAACTAAAGGAGTATCAGGTGATTCCCTATGCAATGAAATAGCCTTTCAGTTATTTCAAAAGCTTTTGGTTCTAATTTAATTATTGGAACTATTACTTATCTCCTTTATTTTGGGTGTTCAACACTTCCACTGATTAAGCTAATTATCAGGATGAGCTATAACATCATTTATGTTAGTGAAAGGCTATTTTTTGTAATTTTTAGCATCATCATGCACTGTTTCGTAGATGGGTATAGCAGTTGAATCTTCTTTTTGTTTGAGAATTCGGGGCATTCTAGTGATAAGTGCCTTCAAATGGAACACAATGGTATGTTTCTTAACAATGCATATGACCTTTTACTACAATTCAAAGGTTCCATAACAAACGTTCAATGAAAAAAATCTGAAAATGAGAGATTTTCTGAAAAATTAGTAAAAAGAAGAATGAAAGACAATCCTATATTGACAAGGACGAGCTTTTTCACGATTTAGTAATGCCTAAACTCTTTCTTATGTATCAAGGATCATTGAAATATGCAAGAATACTATTTCAACGAAAAATGCTATTTACGAGGATTTCAATCAAGATACCTGAACAAGTTAGTTCATTCTTATTTTTGATGATGAAGACATTAGTTCATTCTTAAGTGCTTGAGTTGAGTATAGTGGAATGATGAATTTATCTGTGTCGCCTTTTCTGGGTTGCGTTTTTCAATAAATATTGGTTACATTTCTTTACATATTTGTATCATCATTCCACTACACTCGATTCAAGAACTTAAGAATGAACCAATGTCATCATTATAAAAAAAAAGAATGAATTAATGTATCAGTAATCTCGGTTATGGATGAGTGCTCTTGGTATAGTTGGTCTAGCCTTAAACCATCGTTTATTAGAGACATCAACATAATGTTTAGCTTGGTGGAAATGAAATCTTTTCCCTCAGGATCCTATTAAATAGAAACATAGAACAACAAAAAAAAAAAAATAACTAGAAAGGTTGTAAGAATCCCCTTCTTCTAGAAGGATCATCTACAAAGCTATTCGTTTAAAGTGTATTCAGGCCAAAAGCTGACATAGATGTTATGGTATAAATTCCTTTCTTTTCCCAAAATTTTGTTCACATCTTAGATCTATAAATTGACTCATCTTTAAAAGATCCTAATAGAACAACTCGGTTGAAGTGTAATGATCATATGTCTGTAGTGCATTGTATGTCCCATAATAGGTCTCATTGTTCTGCTCTTCTCCAGAAGTCTGATTATTCATATCTATTACCTTGACATTAAAGAAGAGTTCGGCCCAATCCTTTGTTTCCATTCCGATCATTCCAACATTCCCCATTTGTCCGACTGTTACTGGGCAGTTATGGATATCACATGGACTGCTTGTGGACAAATTTTCATTGATCATGCGACACTCAGATTTGAACAGGGAGAAAAGGATTTGCAGTCCTTGAGCTCTGGGCTCGCTGTCGTAAGTGGGCCTGTTTATGTCAACTACCCTCTAGTTTTTTTAAATGGAAGACAACAAACTTATTAAATTCTTTTCTGCCTCAATTTTTGTAAATTAGTTCTTAGTTCACTTTTCCCTTAAAACCATTTCTTCTGAACTAATCCAAACACACATAATTTTTTTAAAAATAAGAATCCCAAACCCATTATTTCCAAAAATCAGACCTAAAACAATCCTCCCCAAAACAAAGAAAACAAAGTGTTTTCTAACAAAAACACCAATCTGTAATTAAGAAAGCTAATACCATTTCTATTTTTCATGAATCTAGTGTAGTTTCATTTTTTATTTCTTCTATACTGTAAGGTCTATGATCTTCATAAGAACTCGGAGTGGCACAAAAAATGTCTTGGATTATGTTATGTTAGACCTGAAAATTTTATATTTGGAAAATATTATTTATATTCACCGACCTAACCTAACATAATATGTACTGATTCCAGGATCGACTACTCCAAATACCAAATCAATTAAAATAGCATGTCAAGAGAATTTTCTTTGCATGTTACTCTGATGGGATGAACCAACATAGGGCCTTAATCTGTGATTTGGTCTCTCTAAGAAGCCAAAAAAAAAAAAAAAAACATGTTTCTGGCCTCCAAATACTTCTCCCTCTCTACTTCACCTTGGCAGTCTAGATTTCAGCTGGTCAGCAGGTTGCTAGTATTTGTATGTTTTTCTGTTTCTTTGTTTTGTGTGTAGCATGTTCTTAGATCCAAGAGGAACTGGGAAACTTCAATCAGATTTTTACTTCAACCTTGCCTATTTTTCTGTTTGATTGCTTTCTATGGGGTCCTTTTGTTGTTTGTATTGCCAACAGTTTGCTGTAAGAGTTTTTGATGAAGAAGAGTGTTGCTTCAAGATTTTCTTTCTCCAAGACTCTGATTTCTAATTTTGATGCCATTAAACATTTTCCAAGCCCATTTTAGTTTTCTACTTATTGTTCTTCATCTACTACCTCTGCCCACATCTTTGTAACCAACTTAATTATTTGTGCAAAGAATGTGCTTCGGATGGGGAGTCTGAGTTTCTAACTTTTGGAAGGATTTTGGTCTCTCTTTCTGTAAAAAGTGAAAAAGTTCTCTTTTTGGAAGGATTCCAGAGCAATGATGTCTCATTCAGTTGTGCCAACTGTGCAACCTAAGATAACAATACAGTAACACATTTGATCTTCAGAACAATTGCGTTTGATCTGTTTTTTAGATTTTAACTAATGGATGTGGAAGTATTGCACCTTAGAATGAAGGTGATATTCCTTCACTAACCTCCCTGGGATGTGTATATTACTTTCATCAAGACATACATGTATATTTTGCGTTTTTGTTTTGTCAGGCAGAGGGGACTTTATTTGTGGATTAAGAACGATGCATATTTAGTCCACTTGGTGTATCATTTTCTATGTTGAGAAACACATTAAGTGTTGGAGACTGTCTAGTTAGAGCTTGTTATTTCCCGGGTGCACATCGTTCCCACTGCTCTATGATGGTTAACTGTTGATCTGCTTTATTTATCTGATCTGACAATTCTTTTTTTGGGCGAATGTCACATTAATGTTTATTAAATGGGACAAGATTATTTGCAGTTTGTCATTAGTTGCAGTCACAATAAATTTTTAACTTGCAATATTTGATTATTTTCATCTTTCTGTTTGTTACAACCCCCCCTTTTTTCTTTGTCTTTTGTTTTGGGGGGGGGGGGGGGTTAATGAATGCTGAAGAAGGCAAGCTTTCGTTGCTTCAAAATTTATAGTGGTTTTCTTACTTTATGGCTCTCATTCTGCCTCCTACAGGCATGTACTAAAAGGGTAGAAGGTGATGAATCAGGGCACAAACATTGCACTGGACAGTATTTTGATTATTGGCACTGCATTGACAAATGTGTAAGCTCCCTTCTAGGGTGTGCTGCGTCTTGTTTCTTTCCATTTTTTATTTGTTGTTTTCTAATCTTTTCGTGGGATTGTACAGGTTGCTGCGAAGTTATTTGACCACCTCAAGTAACAAGGATATAAGTTGTTGATCCCTTGCAATTTATCTGTTTTTTTGTTGTTGAACAAGTCATTACCATATTATTCCTCACTGTGCTGCTGACTTGCAACCCTTTCAATCAACTTGGTTGCTGCATGGAAAATTTTGAACTATGCACATCTTAAAAAAATGATTAATAAATTATACTCGTGGGTTAAATTTTTTGAACCCTTTATTTGTTCGAATTATTGAGGATCTCTCGGATGTTATTCCCTGATGGCTTCATGGGGGAAAACGTCTTGTCTGGTGCTCACTGAATCCTGCGCATATATTGATGAATGAGTTATTTTGAGTAGACAGAAGTGCAAATGCAGTCAGCTGCTTGTTCTATCCACTGTATTTGTGGGTTTTCGTTTGGACTTTACTCGTACTGTATGTTCCTTATTTGGTCGATGGAGAGGTAACAAGTATCGAGCGAAATGATTATGTGATTATGTTCACTCACTATGCTGGGGAGGGGTATGGCCATTAGAGTTTATGAAGAGAGAGGAGACATCTTATCCAAAATGAATCAGTTCAGTCTTGTCTTAAAAATGGCTAAAAATATGGCCAGGTAAAAATAATTTTTTTTGCCTACGTACTAACTTCACTGATGTTGGAAAGGAAAATATTGAAGTAATGGTTGAAAAGTGCAAATTGATAGGAAATACATATAAACGCCTAAGAAGTACCAAATTTCAACGGACATCCACTTTACCTCACATGATAGGTTTTGAAATGCAATTGTGGCAAATCAATAAATAAAATTGTCTCGTCTCTAATTGATAAAATTGTCATGCACCAAACTCGAGGGGCGCAACTGGCTCCTAATGCCAAAACTCAACCCCGAGCCGACCCTGCTGAACCATTTGCTACAAGCGCATGGCAGCCACACGCAATCAAGAAATCAAACAAGTATATCTCGGCTTAAAACTAAGCCATCGGCCGGCAAGGCTCCTGTCAACTGATCTATAAAAGAAATAGCTACTCCCAGGAGATCATATAAATAAATAGTCAACTAGCACAGAAGTTCTAATTGGGCCGTCGATTCCACCATGATATCTATACCAAAACTAAAGCAGGTATATATCAATACAATACATCAAACAGCTCACAAGCTTCCGCAAACCAACAACATAGGCCAGCATGGCCATAACGTAGCTATAAACCCCACACACTAGTCTGCAAGCCTCTAAGAGTAGTAAAGATTGGTGGGACAGGGCCCCAGCTTACCCATAAAGATATATACAACAAAAGGTAACAAATCTCCCAACTCTAGCAGCTCCGGAGGAAAGGGGCTAGCCAACCGGATAAAAGTCAATCCTGTTGCTGAGGAGGTCTACTCAATCATCTGTCAGAACCTGCATGCATGAATGCAGCGCCCCCAAGGCCATGGGGCGTCAGTACAAAATAATGTACAGAGTATGAAAGGCAATAGACTATGATGAGGTATCCTGATATACTGGAATAATCTAATAAATAAATAAAGCTAAGATAAGTGTACTGACCTGCTCCTAAATCTAAACTTATCAAAAATAATAAAACAACAACCTAACCAAGCCCCCATAAGCTCGACAGGTACAAACAGCACACAAGACCACATACTCAGGCCCCCATAAGCCCGGAAGGTGCCAATCAGTCTATATACCCCTATCAGTAGTCCCCTAGCCCCGTAGGCAGTCACATAGCCCTCTTAGGCATTAATATAGCCCCGTAGGTAGCACATAGCTCTCTTAGGCATCAACGTAGCTTATAAACAACTCATAGCCCTCTTAGGCAACAACATGACCCTGTAGGAAGCACATAGCCTTCTTAGGCGTCAATATAGCCCTATAGGTAACTCATAGCCCTGTTAGGCATCCATATAGCCCTGTAGGCAGAACATAGCCCTTCTAGGCATATATCACATTCCTGCAGCTAACCACAATAGCCCCAACGACAATAATAACAATCCAACCGCTAAAAGCGAGCAATTTAGTCATAAGCAACATATACAAATAGCCTCTAAGTCGTGTCCAACATAGGGACGCTACTAACTGAATAAGAATACTGACAAGGGAGGATTATATCAACTCGAGCAGCCAACAATCAACAATCACGGTTTAAGGAAACATGTCGTAAGTAGGGAATAGTCTTAAAATACCTTTTTCGCTAAATTCACGTGGCCTAATGACTTTTACTCAATACTCCCTCGATACTACAACAAGGTAGGACCATAATCAACACACAAAAATAAAAGATACCATGACAATACGATAAAATATATGTATTTCTGTTGCAAATTGCTATTTGCTGCTTATAAAAGCTAGAGTCAATGAAAGAAGGGTCTTACCTCGATCTTAAGGTCGTAATACGCTTCAAAACCTTCAAATATATCCAAACCCTTGCTGTCCCAACACTAAAGTGTGATATGCTACGCAATTGATAAAACAAATTATACCACAATGATGAGCCCAACGCGTAGAACAACTTTCGTCAAGGACTTAAGTCGAGAAAATCTATATTTTACTTGATCCTAGAAATGGGTTTCTCTAATTTCTCTGTTTTTTTAGCTTTAAAATGGTGAAAAAGGTCGAAGGAGAAGATATATGTAACATTCCACCGACTTAGGGCCCCACCTCACGTCCCTGCTTGCGCAGTCCCACGAAAATGTGAATATCTCTCTATTCTGAAGTCGTATGAACGAACGGTTTGATGCGTTGGCAACTAGACTCGTAGACCTTCCATAACTCTTAATAGATTGGGAGAAAACGTCCGAGACATTTGACTCAAATTTCAGACAAATCTTTAAAAAGGAATTTACGGTAACTTTCGCCAACTTTTATTTTGTCACTTACCTAACCTCAAAACTTGAGATACCACAATTGAACACTTAAAATATCACATAACACATCATTTTTAATTTATTACTTACCCTCCTTGTCTTTCCACGAAGATACGAGTTAATTTAGACGTTTTTAAAAGTCGGGGTGTTACAAAAATAATTTAAATCTTTAGACAAGACTATTGATGTAATGTAACATCGTTAGTACAACGCAAATGATCTCTGTTTAGATACCTAAAAAGAACAAGTAACCATACATTTTAACAATCCTAATTGGGCCATGATTTGAATGCACTATTGTCTCCCATGGAGATGGACTGATATGGGGCTTTCTACTTCTTATCTCTTCGCTTCTACTTGAACCATTCAATACTAATCAATTTGTTGGTTATCACATACCTTGCAGACAATAACCGCAATAGTCACCAGTCTAGTCCTCTAATACCCGATAAAGGATTAAGTTCACAAATGGTCTTCGTAACGTATTCTTGATTTTTTAACCCCATATAATAAGAAGTTCAAGAACTCTTGCTTTAGAAAATTCGTTAGGCAATGTTTCGGTTGCTCATCGGACATAAATTAGTAAGTTTATTATATTTCAGGACAATGAACTTAAGTTGATCATAAGTTGTGTCTTACAGGCATAAGTTAAAACTTATGTCTGATAGACAACATAGATAAAACTTTTGTTGTCCATCAAAAGTTCCAACTTTTCCTTTTAATTCAAGATAGTGAATGTGCTCAATTGACCATAACCTTTTCTTTTATTTCAAAATAGTGAACATGCTCAATTGACCATAAATTTGACTTTATAGGCAACAAAAATTCTTCCTTGCAATTTTTTTTGAACTTAAAGTTATATTTTTAAGAATTTAACAAAAACACAAAATTGGACACTTTTTGTACACCATGCCTCATTTCATGGGTAAAGCTAGAAGACCAATTCAAAAAGCCCAATAGAAAAGCCTTTTTAATTTATGTCTTTCCTCTTCTGTCTCCTCTTCACCACCTCATTCTAAGAAAAGTCAGGTTGCTCCTCTTCTACGCATTTGATCTGCTTCTGATTTCTTCCGATCTGCTTATTTTGTCATGGAGAATTATGGATGTTTTTCTCTGGTTAATTTTGTATTGATAAGTGTAAAAATTGCATTTGCAGGTGAATTTGTAGAATCAAAGTCTTCGTATCCAATATCTCTTTGCCATGTGAGTACTGTTGATCTATTGATAATGAAACTATTCTCTCTTTATTAAAGTAATTTAATTTTGATGTGATTTATGTGTCTCATTTCGTCTGTACAATCGATAGGATTTCACTGTTTACGAGTAATTTATTGAATTTTACTATAGATGATGGTGTTCTCCTTACTATATATGTGAGTGTGATTTTTAATTAGTTTTTCAATTATACACTGGAAATTGAGATTTCCTAAATAATTTATATAGAATTTTGATCTGCAACAGTAAAAAAATAGAAATAAAATCGTCATCTTTAATTTGTCAAAGAGCAAAGTGTTAGTTGGACCTCTATGTTGAGAGAAATGAAGTTGCTGTAAATCCTATCTGGAACAGTAAAAAAACAGAAATAGAAGTCATCTTTATTTTGTCAAAGAGCAAAGTGTTAATGAACCCCTAGGCCCCTATGTTGAGAGAAATGAAGTTTCTGGAAATCCTATTGTAATATTATTATTTTTTTTTGTGATTTTTCCCATTGTTTATATAATGTAGAAAAATAGTAGTTCAATTATGCTTGCGGCTACAAAAAGGAGAGGAAGTAGTAGTTTGATTATACTCAAAATGTTGTTAGCTTTCTAATGTGCAATGAATTACCATTTTTAGTATGTATGTTTAAAACACATTGACTAGCGAGCTAATATTCCCAAGTAGACGGTTGAATTATGTATCTCTTCGAGAAGCAATACGTCATTTATTGAAATACCTTCGTGGGATCTGATTGGAGAGTGGGTGTGAGCGTCCTAGAACCAATTTATTCTGTTATTTTTGGATTCGGTTACTAAACTTCCAACATCAATGTCATGGGACTAAAGTCTTCAACCATGTTAGCTTGCTATCTTCTATTTCTTTGTTGCATAAATCATTTTAAAATTTCAATTCTCTAGATCTTAGACATTTCTCTTTAAAAATGAAAAATACTTAGAAGTTCCTTAATAATATGCACAGCCTTCAAGTGTGCCGCAGATTCCAACACATATATATGTGTATGCGCGCGCATATCAGGCAATTTGCATGTATATGGCGCTATGCTGAGCAAATGCACACTTACCGAACTTCTACAAATTCTACTTGATTTCATGTGTTAATCAGAAGTGCTTTGAGCCTTTGACACAATCCTTATCCTTCCTCTAATGCAACAGCTAATTATTTAACCTTATTCGTTCATTGGTGCAACTTCATGTATCAAAGAATACTTTCATGTTTCAATTCTAATAATTTGTACGCAACTACATATTCTACCCTATTTGATTGGTTTACAACTCTATCCATTTATTAGCCCGTAGTGGATAGTATTATAGTGTTTTTAGTGTAAAGCAAAGGTTTCGAGTGTACATTCCGTGTTGAAACCTTCCATAAGTGCTTTGTCAAAGGCTCAACTTCTTTAATTGCTTTTTTTTTTTTTTAAATATTGTTTTATGCACAAGTATTTGCTTTTGATATACCCTATTCTTCTCAGTGTGCCTGTTGATGTAACTAGTTGGCGAAAAACACCATTGTCCATTTTTACTTAGATTACATTAAGTTTAACGAAGGAGCACTGCAATGAGATGTTTGTGAATAGTGTTGGCCCTCTTCGTAAGCTTGTATTCCTTGCAGACGAATAGGTGGAGAGACATTTTCATGCTATTTTCCCTAATAACCATTATGTCAGAAGCATCTGATAATATTCTTAGACGATAATCATCTCAATGACTTACAAATATTGAGCTCATGTTACAAACACAGAGTTAGACTGTTGTAATTAATGACAAGTGTAACACCCAGCAACCCCCCCACACACAAAAATAAAATAAAATAAGAAAGTGTGAGCTTATGCTAATATTGCCATCTCTTTGAAGATAAATTGCTGATGGTTTCCTTTGTTCAGGTCGGACGAGGAAGTTGTTGACCCAAAGGTGACAATGGAAGTATCTTGCAAGCCTAAGTGTGTAAGGCAACTAAAGGATTATCAGGTGATTCCCACCATAATAAAACAGCCTTTCAGTTATATCAAAGGGATTTTCTCGTTCTTATATAATTATTATTGGGTGAGCTGTAACCTGGACTTGATTGTTTACGGTGGTGGAAGGCTAATTTTTATTATTGTTAACATTATCATGTACGGTCTCCACAAGAACTCAGAGTGACACAAAAATGTCTTGGGCGATGTCATGTTAGACCTGAAAATTGTAAATTTGGAAAACATCAAATAGTATGGCCGACATATGACCTAACAATCTAACATAGTATGTATCACTTAAACTTTCAGCTACTCTAATTACCAAATCAACTAATATAGTAAGTCAGGAGAATTTTCTTGTTATGTCACTCTAATGGGATGAACCAACAAGTGACTAAGGGACTTAATTTGAAACTGCTTGGTCTTTCTAAGTAGCCAAAAAGGCATGTTTATGGGCCTCCAAGTACACCCCCCGACCTCCTCTCATATTGGCTCTCCAGATTCAACTGGTCAGCAGAATGCTAGTATTTGTATGCTCTTTTTTGTTTCCTCTGCTCATTTTTCTGTTTCATAGCTGTCTATCGGGTCCATTGTTCTTTGTATTGCCAACAATTTGCTGTAACCTTTTTTTATGAAGAACACTGTGCTGTAAGATTTTCATTATCAAAGACTCCGAGTTCTAATTTCGATCCCGTTAAACCTTTTCCGAGTTAGTTTTTGGCTTTCAACTTCTTGTTGTTCATCTACTCCCTCTGCCTATATCTTTGTAATCAACTTAATTGTTTGTGTAAAGGATGTGCTTCGGACATGGGGAATCTGGGTTTCTTGTGTGTTATGCTTGAAGGATGATATCTAATTGATTTGTGACAACTGCCACCTTAGATAACTGTACAGTAGCATTCGTTTGATCTTCAGAACAATTGCATTAACTGTTCTGTGCACTTCCTGAACATTTATGTCTCGTTCATTTGTTCTGAATTTTTGCAAATGTATTCAAAATTTGTAGTGGTTTTCTCACTTTGTGGCTCTTATTTGGGAATTTTGCATCCTACAGGCATGTACTAGAAGGATAGAAGGTGATGAATCAGGGAGCAAGCATTGCACTGGACAGTATTTTGATTATTGGCAATGCATTGACAAATGTGTAAGCTCTATTTCTCTACTCTCCCTTGTTGCTCTGTTAAGCATTTTCTTCATTTTTTTGGGTGGGGGTGTAACCTTTGTCTGTTTCTTGTTTTCTGATCTTTTTGTGGAATTGTTACACAGGTTGCCCCAAAGCTATTTGTAAAACTCAAGTAGCAAGGATATAAGCTGTTGATCCATTGCGATTTTATCTTGCTTTTTCGTTGTTGAAGCCTGTGCTACAGACTTGCAATCCTTTCAATCAACTTAGTTGCCGCATGGAAAATTTTGTACTATGCACATTCTTAAGAAGTGATTAATAAAAGATACTTGTGGGTTAAATTTTGTGGACACTTTTATTTGGTCAAATGATTGAAAATCCCGCGGATGTTGTTCCCAGATTTTTGTTCTCTCTTGCGCTGTCATATGCTCCCAGGTCCCTAATTTCTTTGTGGGAGGAAATGTCATAAATCAGTGATTTATTTAAGCTCATTTCTTCATAGTTTTGGTTGTTTTGTGGTTAATAGTCCTGAATTAGTTGGCATTAAAATTTGCATGCAACCCTTTAGGTAGATAATATTGCTAAATGAGTTATAGAGTAGACAAAAGTGAAGGTGCAGTCAACTGCTAGTGTTAAGCTGCATGCTGTTCCTCACTGTATTTGTGGGTTTTCTTCTGGGCTGTCTTCTTATTTGGCTGATGGAGAGGTAATAGGTATCCCGTGAAATGGTTGATGGAGTGTTCACCTAACACTACAACATGTTAATCTATGCGTAATCAAAAACATGCGGCAACTTTATCATATTCATACTCCCTCTGTTTTAATTTGTTTGTCTTACTTTTTTTTATCTGTTTAAAAAAGAAACTATATTCCCTTTTTTGTCAAACAAGACAAGTAGATTGAAACAGATGGAGTAATTTTTATGGAATAATTAGGTTTTTGTATTAGTTGACTTGTGATAACAAATCAAAGGTTTCTTACCCTCTTTTAGGTGCTTTATTTTTAATCTGTTGATATCTTATTGATTTTTTAGAGCTTCCTGATTTTGTATGCTTTATTCACTTGTTTGTCATAGCAGGATGGGAAGTCTATATGTTCACTGTATAATGAATTTTTTATTGAAAATTACAGAGAAAGAGTGTTTTTAAGAAATGAACACAGTTTTACTGTACAAAATAGAAGTGGAAGTACAGATTTTGAATACAGGCCGAAAATAATTACATCTGTTAGTTACAACTTATAAATATACATAAATTATACACTAATAATGTATAATTTATCGTATATTATACTTTTGCAGATTATTATTTTGGATGGTGGCAATACAGTGTGAAAAGGGGATGTGTTTAAGAATGGGTCCAAGACCCCAAGAACATGATAGTTCTAATGGGATCTTCCATGTTTGAACTCTTTCTTCTTTGATTTTGATTTTCTTTGGAAGTTTGCTTTGATTTTGAGAGCTTTTCTATGGTTGTTCTCTTTGATTTGTGAATCAAAGATTTATTATCTTCAGAGAAATGGTGAGGCTTCATTCTATATCTTGGTATGTTGAAATATTTACTCAAGATATTGAAGCTTCTTATAAATTGAGGACAAAATACAAGCAAATTTATAGAAAAAAAACTTCATGAAATGAGAATAGCATTAGAGATGGCATATATGATAGATATGTCCACTTATTAAGCATATATTCCTTTTGTCTGTTGATGTGGATGGTGTATATATCAGCTTTTGCTCGTATCACTAGTCTTCGAACCTCTTTCGTCGGAAAATTTTTGTTTTATCAATACTAAAAAATCACTATTTTATCATTGGGATTATAATTTCCCATTGATTTTTTTTTTTAAGGGGCATTTCCATGGATTGAGCTCAGTGAGAAAAAAAATAGTAGTATTTCCACGTAGAAAAAAGAAAGTTTTTCAATATTCCACCATGCATTTTTCCTAATGAGTAAGTACGGTGAAAAAATTATGTCTTATAGCATAAATTTCTTATTGATTTACGATCGGAAAAATCCCATCTCCTCTGATGAGTGTTTGAGCAAAATAATATAAGTTCGAAGCAATAAATTTAGATGATTTATTTGTCTAGTTGCTTTAACATATTGGATTCCAGATAACAAAGTTGGAGGAAAAGTACTTTTAGTGGAACAAGAATATTATTTCCAATTGATGCTGTTGTGGATTAGATTCCACCAGATCTGACTACCAGATAAGAGCATAATCTCAAAAGACTGTAATCCACTCTAACATCCCCTTCATATTCGGGCTTCGGGCTTGATTGGAATGTGGATCAGAAGTCCAAACGGTGAAGTATCTGGCTCTGATATCATATAAAAATATGCTACTTTGAGCTAACTCAACTCTAAAATATACTTATGTAGAAAGATTGTTCAAATCCATATAAACAAACTACCAGTCCATTTCTCAACCAATGCGGGACTGTAACCCACTCTAAAAGTTTGCCTATTTATCTCAGAAAAAGGGAAAGAGATGAGGTTGAGTCTAAAAACACCAAATAATTATAAGATTTAAGTTATATACACTGGCAGTGTAAAAAATGTTATCACAAAAATATAGCGCACAATCATTTTATAAATGACTTGAATGTACCATATATACATCAGTACAACTAGTAAAATCACATAGATATAGATCACTGTTTATTGTATTGCAAGACAACAACTTCAGACAGGAAACACAACATACTAATACAGAAATGCTTCTGAAAAAACATGGATATATGTGGTCATTATTTTCATTTTTTTTTTCATTTTTGCAGCTTCTCCAAGCCCTTCACCCAAGCTGGTCTAGCCAATATATCAGCACACCATGCACTCACACGAGGGCGCGAATCAAACATTGTCTTAGCTTTTGTATTCATCAAATGGTATATATTTGGTATATGATGCAAATCAACAAGTGTAAAGGAGTCACCACCTAAGTATTTTGACTCTGTCAATCGAGTTTCGTAGATGTCAAGAACCTTAGACAATTGTTCTTCACTTTTTCTCACAATAGCATCATTTGTACTGCCCATGCCAATCATTGGTTTTATGACTAGCTCCCATGTTAGTTTTGAAGCAAGTGGTTCAAATTTTTGGCCTTCTACTTCCATCCATATTGACATAATGGCCATTTTCTTTGGATCTTGGAGTATTAGTTGAATGCCATTGCTAGCATAAGTATGAGCAATGTATTGAGTGATTGCCCTTGATTCTGCATTACAAGTGCACAATTTATCATATCAAATTGATAGTTTTAAAAAAAACAGGTCACTTATCAGTAGTGGTGGAATCAAGAATTTATAAAAAAAAAAACTTACATAAATAGCTAGTTGGATTCACTTGTTTACTTTTTCTAGCCGATATACATAAATTATACGTGATTATAAACGTATTATACATCTGCTGACTATTAGTTTAAACAGTTAAAGTGACGACTATTTAAATTAATTCTTCTTTATATATATAAAGAGGATTCAAAAATATATATCAGGATGTCAAAGTTAAAGATTGAACTTATGAACCATTTTACCACTAGTAAAATCTCCCTTTATGTCAAGGGGATTAAGGTTGGATATAACAATTGTTTTTACCCTATTTGCATAATATAACTATTCGACTAGAGGATTTAGTTGTCTCCGTTGTTGATTATGCACTAGTTTTCTTATTGGATGTTATGTTTTATATAATGTTTCCTCTTCTCTTACTTGGTTTGGATGTACTTGAGCCGAGGGTCCACCGGAAACAACCTCTCTACCTTCACGAGGTAGTGGTAAGGTCTGCGTACACTTTACCCTCCCAGACCCCACTTGGTGGGATTCCACTGGGTATGTTGTTGTTGTTGACTAGAGGATTTAGTTGAACCCCTTCTGTATTACTAGCTCTGGCCCAACTTGTATTATAATGTAAAAAAAATGGCACAATACATAAAAGTGTTCTTTAATTTGGACTCAACTGATATTTGTACCCTCCAATTTTGGATGTACACAAATAGACAGTTAAACTTGTATAAAGTTAAACAAGTAGACACACATGTCCTACGTGACATAATACACGTAGGACACCATGTAAGACTGCAAATTGTCATGTAGGTAGTGTGTGTCTTCATATTCAATTATATACAAGTTTAAGTGTCTATTTGTGCACATCCCAAATTTGAGAGCATATGTCAGATGAGGACAAGTTAAAGGACATTTTTATGTATTATACTAAAAAAATCGATTATAAGCATTAATAATTAGTAAACTAGTAAGTATAATGAGTTACTATAACATGATAAATTACACTGATAATATAAAAATTATTTACAATATCCGTGTATGTATGACTCAAATCTTTTCAAATTTACCACCTTGGTGCTGACATATACTACAAATTATAAGAATAGCTAAAACACTTTACCAAAGAGCTTTAAGTCCCCATCTTCAAATGCTGGTACTTGAGCAAAAGGCTGCACCAATTGTTGAAAATGTCATTTTAATATCCCATATGTATCCATGATTTCAAATTGCAATATGAAAAAAAAACCTAGACTGATAATAAGCATAAGTCAACCGATCTGAGTATTTTTGACACGAAATATAAATTTATTTATGTGTAAAAATCACTATCAAATAGATTTATAGTCTGTTTAGCCAAACTTTTATAAATCATTAATTTTAAAAAGTATTGTATTTGTTAAAAGTGTTTGTCGAAAAAATATTTTGGACAATGACAATTTGAATTTGCCATTAATTTGACAAATATTTTTGTCAGTGTTAGAGCAACAATTTGTGTTTGACCAAAGTCTAAAAAGTGGTTTTTGAAAGACAAAAAGTATTTTTTTCAGATCCAGCTACTACTGAAACACTAAAACATCTCAAATTTCTAAATAAACATTTTAAAAAAAAAATACTTCTAGCTTCTCAAAAACTTGATCAAATAGACTAATAATTAATTAATTATGCTTACATTGAGTGAAAGGAAAGGGTGCTTCTTGTGTTCTTCATTGGCCATATCAACAAAGACAAACTCAAAATCCAAATCCTTCTCAATAAGGCAAGAAACAACTCTCATGGTTGCAGTTGACAAGGGGATACCATGGACTTTGATTGCCATTATTTCAAGAATACTAATAAATTAGGATTATGATGGATTGCTTCAAGTTGATGAAATGAAGAAATATGGAGGGGTATATATAGGGTAAAATTTTCTTTGATTTCTTTCTTAAAAAAATCAATATATCCAAAAAGTCTTGGCTCCGAAGCAAACCCTTTAATGCTTTAAGATTAGAGGCTAAGTAATACCATGATTTTAAGATGGAGAAAGAACAATTTAATAATCTAATTAGGTAATTAATGACCTCACAACTATTCTTATATGTTGACTAAACCTATTTGTTAAGTGTATTTTGAAGTTGAACAAACAGGTTGGATAGTACAGACTGACCACTTCAAACTATGGGAGATGTGTAAACTTCAACACTTACATTATTTTTTTCTAATAAAAAAGTACAGTTGTCAATTCTATGTTGAGTAAACTAACTGATTAAGAGTCGTTCGGTGTAAGATATTATAATACTAAGATAAAATTTTGTGTTTGATTGGAGGTATTAGGCAATTCTGGAATTATTTATCCTACTATTTATATCTTAGTGATGTGATAAGTGATCTCATATACATGGTGGAATAACTTATCACATGATATCTTATCCCATCCCAAGATAATTAATCCCAGATAACTTGTTCCCAACCAAACGAACCCTTAGTATTGTTCAAAACCAAAAACACTTCGAGCAGGGGTTACAAAGTCAGTTTTACCACTAGATAACTACTCCCTTTGTCCACTTTTATTTGTCACGTTGCGCTTTTCGAAGTCAATTTGACTAATTTTCAAAGTTAAACAAAAAAAATTAGATATTCAAAAACTATACGAAAAGTACTATATATTCCAATTTTTTGCATATCAATATGACCAAAAAATACACCGTAAAATGTTAGTCAAAGTTATTATCGTTTGACTCTAAAAAAGAAAATTATGACAATTAAAAGTGGATAGAGGTAGAAATCTCAAAAGTTGGCTCATGAGGGGAGGACTGTCCAAGTCCATATAAGCAAAACCACCGGTTTCCAATCAATGTAAGACTGTAACCAAGTGTAACACCCTCTTTACGTCTAGACCTGAATGGAACGTGGACCAGAAGTCCAAATGGGGAAGGACCTAACTTGGTAACCATGTAAAGATATGGTAGTTTGGTCTAACTCAACCTGAAAAGCTAGCTCATTGGGTTGTGTGTGAGGGACATGAGAGGGGGGTGGAGGGAATTGCCCAAGTACATATAAACAAATTACCCATCCATTCCTCAACCAATGTGGGACTATAACCAACTCTAACAATTGGTCTGTTTACCGGGAAAGGGGAAGGATATGAGGTTGAGTCTAGAAACACCAATGATTATAAGAATTAAGTTATATCTACTGACAATATAAGAAATGTTATCAAAGAGATTTAGCATATAATCATTTTATAAATGACTTGAATGTACCATATATATATATATATATATATATATATAAATATATATCAGTACAACTAGTAAATCACATAGATATTGATCACTGTTTATTGTAATGCAAGACAACAACTTCATACAGGAAACACAACATAGTAAGACAACAACTTCAGACAGAAAACACAACATATTAAGACAACAACTTCAGACAGAAAACACAACATATTAAGACACAAATGCTTCTGGAAAAACATATATATAATTCCCATCAGTAGTGCATAATTGGAATATGGTGCAAACCTGCCCGGGTGAAACTGTCTCCTCCCAAGTATTTTCATTCCCTCAGTGTCACCTAGTATACATCAAAAATAGTTCCAAGTTTGTCTTCATTCTCTGCTAGAGCTGCATTGTCCGTCACCATTTGGAAGCAACAGGATCAAATTTTGTTTTTTCAAACTCCATCCACAGGCATGATGGCCATTTTATTGACCTTTCTGTGTATGTAGGCAATGTACCGAGTAAGATCCATCATGAGACTACTTAAAGAGCATAGGAAGTCAACTAAAAATCCACCAATCCAATGAGGCTCCAGAACAAATAAAGTGATCTGATTGCATTCATATATTTTGCAGTAGTCTTGAGTGAAATTTGTAGCGAAAAGGGATAAATTAGACTTCTATTTGGAAAATATAGGGCAAGTGCAAAGTACAACAATAAAGAATTCTCTAGAAACCTTGCTATTACCTTGGTATAAAATGTGATCCAAAGACTAAATCTGAGAGAAATATGCACACAAAATGATGGCCTCGTCTTTCGCGTTCACATGTACCTCCTTCCTGCACCAGAAAAAGTCAGTCTGGGAAAGAATCACTTAGTATTTGTTAAGCAATACAAGAAAGTTTAGTAAAAGGTACAGCTTTTACCAACTTGAAGACACTGGCATATGCACAACAATGGTATAAAGAATAATTTACAAGGACAGAATCAGAACTTTCCTCCGGGCTATGAGGGGATAAAATCAATCTAGCTTTGTCTGCTTCTTTTTTTTTTTATAAATTAAGTATAGAGTTACTCCATTTCTACCAAAAAGGTGTTCTAGGCATTTCAATCACAATAGTTTAGGTTGGGTGCCAAGAGCCATCTTACTCAAACGGGTACCGAGAAAAGAGTATTATTCCAAACAAACAAAAACAACAAATATTGAAAAAAGAAAATATTTGAGCTGCTCCTACCAAGGTTGATGTATGCGGATAACATTCCCTATTTCAAGTTCGACGTCTTTACAAATTCTCGAGCTAAAAATGATAGTAAACTTCCTTCTACCAGTACCCTTCCTTTCTCGAGGATTGCTCAGGCACTCAGAACCCTGCCAAAAAAAATAAAATTGACAATCGCATTCACCCAACACCACAGATCTATTCTGTTTGATAAATGAAACCATCAACACCAGCAAGAGTAGGAATAAACAGTTAATAAATGTTAGACCCCAACTTTCATTCTTAAACATTCCCATACGACGAAATGACTAGCTAGATGGTATGGAACTTCTTTTTTCCCCTTCTAGACCTATGTGCTTGGGGAATGAGTACTGATTAATGTTTTTCGAGATCACTTTTTTCCCTCCTGTATATAAACAACGCAGGTAAAACATAAATATATATCAATTTATTCAATCTGCATTAGATAATCCTCCAGTACAAACAACGTACATGGATCATAAGTGACAGTGAATGTCCTTGGTTAGACATTTGGATCATGGACAATTTCTGACCCTAAATTTGCAAGCTTCTTTGTGAATTAAAAAAATAATAATTAAGTGTCAAAATATCAATGATCTAAATATGTACTCCCTCGTCCCAAAAGGATTTTCACCTCTTCCTATTGGACTATATAAATTAATCACTTTCCTTGGAAGAAAAGATGTATCTCTTTTTTTCCTTCTTTTACTGAGAATGATATTTTATAATATGTCCATATGATTGTGAAATTTTTAATAGACCTACTTTCCCGTCAGTGTTCAAAAGAAAAATAGGTTAACGTCTTAGAAGATTCAACCTGCCAAACAATACAATTTTTTCCATGCGTCAGATAATGCCAAGTATAAATATGAATATTTGGACCAAGAGAGTTATGATCTTTAAAAATTACTGGTTTACATGCTGAAGTGATTAAGGCTGGCGTCATGACCAAAGTGAAAATATCCAGCTAGAGCACTAAGAAAATGCTGGAAAGCAAATTTACAGTTTCCATACACAAAAACTTGCTCTTCTTACTAGATTACCAAAGTCGAAAACTACTTATACTCAACAACAACATACCCAGTGTAATCCCACAAGTGGGGTCGAGGGAGGGAAAGCAGAACTTACCCCTACCTTTGTGGGGTAGAGAGGTTGTTTCCAATAGACACAAAACTACTTACACTACAACAACAACAACATACCCAGTGTAATTCCACAAGTAGAGCACACGGAAGGTAGAGTATATGTAGACCTTGACTCTACTTCGTATAGATAGAGAGGTTGTTTCAGATAGACCCTCGGCTTAAAATAAAGCATTTCCAAGCTTCTTGAAAAAGAGAATACAAAAATGAGAGCAGTAACAACAATGATACAAAACTATTTACACTGATTCCAAAAAATCTAACAGACATTCAGCATCCTCTACAAGGTTCTCTTTACACCAGGAAAAAAAACATTACACAGTTCATTTTAAGTCTCTGTGTAAACTTACCATCATGTGTCAACCCTAATAATTGCATAACCAAACCCATATAGCCATTCATACTGAATTTATGATCCTCATTCCATCTGCCAAACTAAGACTGATAAGACTATATTGTACACATTTCAGTATCAGAAAACCCAAATTCACTTCCCAATTAAGATTCTGCTGATTCTGCAGCCAGGATGACTGATAGATACAGCCAGAGGGTCTAACACCCAAATCAACTGCCCAGGGATGAACATTTTGATTCCAGCAGAAGTAAAGAAGAAACGAAGAAGTGGTTTAAGCACAAAGGATGAAAAATATTGATAAAGAACAAAAGAAGAAAGAAATCATAGAACAAATAAATGTCTCCATGGTCCCTCAGTTATCTGAATCTCCTAAGGGTCAAGTCGTAGATACTACAAGGAATACATTTCTGAATAAGTTTACACAGATCATAGTAAACACCATATTATTAAACGACAGCAATTATCGGGAAAAAATGAAAACACTGTGATGAATATAATTTCGGGAGTTCCTTACTGATTACACACTTCAAAAAAACCAACTACCACATTGTTTGTTTAATCTGCAGGGCTTGTTGCTTCGGAGGGAAATGGTGTATAGAAAGTTGAGAAACTATGACACTTCACCCAAAAGCTACCACCTATAATGGAAAGTAAAAGTTCTCCACCTGCAGTATCCATGGTCCTAGGCACCCTACCCGACTTTCTGTGCCATGCAACATGCTGAATTTCTAAAAGTTGCCCATTTATATGAGAATGGTAAATGTCCCAGGCACCACGTAAAAATTGGACTATCATCAAAACAAGTACTGGGAATTTCTACTTCAGAAACTAGTGAGAGCAAGAAAAGCACGCTCATGACCTTCAAAAAGTTGAAAGCAACATTGTATCCTCAATAAAGTAGACATACTCATACTTTTAACCTTCTGTTTAGCAAATGTACAATAGTTAGTTCAAGTACCTCTTCATCTCCATGTAAAGCACAAAAACAAACAGTCAGCTTGGCCTCCAAAGAACTTGACAAAATTCTCACATCAATGAAGCTTTCTTCACCTGAATTAACAGCAGAGGAGAAGGTCAGAAACAAGCAAGAGACAGGAGATACACAGTTTGGCCTTTTACCACTTGAAGCAGCATGTGTTTGTGACTTCTCCAAGAAATATGTATCTCTGTCCTTTTCACATTGCATCACGTGCTGCAACCTTCCAGATAACCTGCATGACTTATCAATACAAGTAAGAAAAGATAAACTTTGAAGAATATTTTTCTGTTTCTGTTCCTAGAAAACATGCAGAATATGCTCATAATTGATACGTTCTAGTTCCATAACTCACCCGAATTGCTTAGGCCTTGCAATAGATAGCCTCTCATTTGTGCATACAGCTCCTAACGCTAGATGAAATTGGTCAGCCATGGTCCTCTGAGGTATAGCAGACTTCAGAATCTGGGGAACTTCCTGAAACAAAAAGAAAGGAATTCAGAGAACTACATATGGCAATTGATCGTGATGATTACGCAATAAAAGATTAACTACATATTACATCCTCATCACTAGATGGATCACTATCTAGTTCCTCAGGTTGGTCGCCATTGCTCATGTTTCTGTCACCAAGCAGCAATAAGTTTCTCTTCCGTAAGAACCGTGATCCTTGTCTTTTTGTTTGCAGCTGCTGGATAAGCATGATTCTTACATACAAAAACATAATTGAAATAGTAAAAATGGTAATACGGAAGCGCTACTGAGATCTTTAAGAAAAGAGATCTGGAGAAGAAGAAAGCAAACCGTTTTAGGATTGCCTCGTGAGGAACTTGTATGCTGAAAGTGATCCAGAACCTCAGCCATGGAATGCTCATTTGGATCATGTACAACTGCTACTTCAGATGAGACCAAATTCTCCTCGAACTGTTGTACTTCTTTTCCACCATAATTCTCCAATAAGTCATCCAGTGACTCTATATTTTTTCTTTGCATGTCTAATTCTGCATTTAGGGGAAGCACAGATAAGGGTGTGCAGGTTTCACAATTATCATGGACAACCAAAGCATAATCTTTCTTCTGTGGCCGGGATTGGAACAAAAATTTGGGCTTAGATTTGCCCGAGCTTCCTGCAGTTGATATCAAAAGTCATTTCAAATTTACAGCTTGAAAACTCAATCACAGATCTCAAGTAAAGAAAAAGAGCCATCAGAGATGTCAGATTTGAGGATTCAATATTGAGATGCATCCATTTCTTTTCTATTTTACTTGGAGTCCACTTGTTCCTGAGAAACACTACTACTACACATGTTATGCTGGTTAGTTTTTTTTTTTTTTTTTTGTGGGGGTGGGGTGGGGTGGGGTGGGGGATTACATTGTTATGCTAGTCAGTAACAGCTTAGTCCAAGACAATTTAACCAACTATGATGAAAAATGCTTGATTAAGATCATTCTTCTCATTGGTGGAGTTGACGACATCTTTAGCATCAAGACAAAGAATGCAAAATATGGAAATGAAGTCAACAGAAATACTAATACCTTTAGATGATCTGTTCAATTTTGATGAGGCCCCATATTGCGATGAACACCCAGCATCTTTATTGAAGAAAGCTCCTGATTTGCAATCTGCACTTACTTTAGGCATTGTACTTTTACCATCTCTTTTAAAATTTCCATCAGTAGAAGGCCTCATCTGCCAGATTTTTAACCTCCAAAGATCCACTTAGTATTGGTTGGACAAAATATTAAGTATTCTAGTGACATCGATTTTGCAGACATAGAGATCAGCAGTCATACCTCATCATCAGACAAAATTTCCTCTTCTGAATTACAAGTGGATGCCATTCTATTGACGTGACAAAATTCGTCATCTAAGGAGCAGGACAACGCCATCCGATGATCATTTTTGTTGATGAAGCTACCATCCTGACTCTTAAACAAAGGAACTTCAACGTCATCTTCTTCGCATAAACCTGTCCGCCTCTGCTGACAAGAATGCAACCGCAACTGTAAGAGGAAGTCGTCATCTGAACCTTCTACTGCTTATCACTTTTGTCTATCTCCACTTAGTAATAGATCCCTTTTGTAGATGGGATACACATAATGATAATACAGGCCTCCCCCATCAATTAATAAGCTATGTGTTGCGTATGAGAACAAAGTTCCACGTTGGTAGCTTTTTTTTCTTTTTTCTGATAAGGTAGTTGCACATAGGTAGCTGAAAGGAAAAAGAAGCTACATAAAAGGTATAGGGATGGATACTCTTAATGTGTGAGCCCTTTTTGGGAAAACCATGCGACTTTGGCCCAAAGCGGACAATATCACACCATGCTAAGAGTATCTTCAGGTTATTTTAGCCCAACACTTTGTTCCTTAAACTGAACGATTCCAGAGAAATGGGAAAAGTGGAGAGCAATTTTTTGTTGAACTCCCCATCAAAAAGTCAATTTCCATGTTGAATTCTTAACCACCATGACCCATTAAAGTCAACTAGGAACTTTTTGAGACATATTTAACCCAACAAAAAAAGAAGAAGAGGAAAAGACAAGGACCAAAGGAACAATAGAAAGAAGAAATGAAGGTAGGTCGTATGACAAAAAAAAGGAGGTGAATTCAAACCAGTACCAGCATATCAGAGTTCACTGTATCGGTTGAATGATGAAGTCTTTTGACATCTGCAGAAGATTAACATGGATAACTTCTCAAATGTCCTTAACTTTTTGAATATTTTGCATGGGGGTGTTGATGAATGAAAATTCAAGTGGAGAAGTTTCATTGGGAATACCTGTGAGCAGTTCAAGCTGGGAAAGGACTCCTAAACCTCCCTGACAAACAAGCAACATCAAACTCTTGGGCATTATAAAGTATTCATCAGCAAATTCATATACAAAATAAGGGGGAGTTCACCGATAACTAGAAAATTTGTGCAGTGAACATGCCTGCATTGTGTGAATAAACACTAAACACTTTATCTCATAACTATAATTTAATTGCTAACAATCAAAGCCAAAACATAAACCCTTACCCTCCAAAGCATTTTGAAATTTGTTTTTCTACGAATAGTAAGCAAGACAATTATGTCATAACATTTTAACAATCAATCAGCCAATAAGACAATTCTTCAGGCTCATTTTCACTATAACAGTAAACAAATTTTGTCTTAGATTAAAGATATAGTACGGGTTACCAAGAACATTATATAAGGCAGCTGGAGTTTTAACTCGAGGAATTTGAAAATGTAAGCAAGAAAATTAACTAGGCATTACCTTGTTTTCTAAGGATCCACTAAGACAATTGTCATTTGTCATCCATTTGTCATCGTCCATTTCTTCCTCTTCTAACAATTTCAAACAAGGCAAAGAAGATTCAATTAAAGCAAACAAACAAACAAACCTAGGTTATTACTGGGAAGCTTTCCTTCAAGGAGAAGAAAGGTACCGGAAAAACTCTGGTCCGAATCTTGCTTTTCCTACATTATAATTGAGGAAATCAAGTTCAATTCTACGGAAAACATCGAAATTCATTCAAAATCAACACAAAAATCGTCTGAACAATTGCAGGTAACCTAAAACTACAATTCTGATGAGATAATCTCCGATCTTTGAGCTAAATGATGAAAATTGTTCGGAAAATCTGGAATACCTGAAGATAAACTCTAGTGGCAGCTGAGCCTTTCTCTTCCATAGCCGGTAACAGGCAGAGAAGCAATTTTACGGAGCTAATTGGGGCAAGAGTGGCGGGAAGTTAAGAGTGAGGAGTGGAGTTGAACTGTATATATACTGATACTACTACTGTAATTTACTTTTTTTTTTTTTTGTTAAATAAAGCCAAGTAGTGAAGAGATTTTGTTGAATATAATATAATCAAATTGGACACTTAAATTATCCAATATAACATAAACACTTCCTATGAAAAATATAATATTTTCTTCTTAAATTAGTTTTCCAAACAGCACCAGCAAATGATAGTTAGAGTCAGCTTAAGTAAAAAAAAATTCAAATCTGAACATATTTAAACCTTCCAATTTTCGAGCATTTAAATATGAGAGTTAAGAACTAAACTTTTCAAGTATGTAACAATACCATAATCTCGATTTACATATCAACTGAGGTAATTAGATGATTACACAAAATTTCAACTTCTAAACTCAATCCAACATTCAAATTTTTTACATAAAAAGTTGATATTCAAAAGTTTCTAAAACCTACTCCTCCCTCACTTTGTGTTATATTATATGTAGAAATTGCTTTTGCATTCTAATGGTGGTGTGCAAAAGTTTTGTTTTAAATGTGAGCTTATTTGAAGTAGATTTTGAATTTTTTTGAAATATTTTTATTAACATTGAAATCAAACTTTCAAACAATATCTTATTGAATAACAATAACACACAAAGTTATACTTATTCGATAGAATTTGTGAATAGTTAACAATATAAGTAATATATAGAAAACACAAATCCTACCAATTCAAATTCTATGAACAAAATGAGCAAGCACTAAAAGTCTTACCAATATGATAGATTTCAAGTTAATTCACAACATTTAATGTAAATAATTACAAGTCTTGATAATCTAGTTGAATTTAAAGGCAACTCAATAATATGCATTGTAATTTGTAAAGCGTTACAAGTAATTTTTGATAATTAACATGACTTCAAGATAGACACTTTATAAACATATGTTATAAACATTTACAAGACTTGAAAAATCAATATATATTGTGAACAATTGAACAATAATCTTGTCAATTCGATAAAACTTCAAGGTAATACAACAACAAATCGACCAAATGAGCAACAAAGACAAAAAAAAAAAAACTCAAGAAAATCTTGTTAATTCGGTAAAACTTCTTGGTAATTCAACAACACATCAACCAAATGAACAAAATTAAAGACCACAACTTTAAGAGATTAAAATTAAAGATCACCCCGAAATAAGGACAATTTGTGCAAAACTTGAAATCAAGACAAGGTGTAGTGGGTACTGGGCCCCAAGCGAAGCCTTGGGCCTAAAAGTTGCTTTACTGGCCCATGAAAAAAGCTTACACAGCACGCCTGGCTCCCATAGATACTATAGTAGCCCAAATATATAAACCCGCTCAAATTTGAAATCTCCCAAATCCCCATTTTCAGCAAAACACTGACACCATTACAGAGGTGAAGCACCGAGCACGAACTCTCTTCAGATTCTCTCTACAAGAAGCTCCATTTCCAGCTGATGGAGAGGAAAACTCCAAATAGAACAAGGAGGAAGCAGAGAAGCAACCAAAAAAGCAAGAAGAGGATGAACAAGGGTTCACTTTCCAGGCATTTCACTGTTGGGATTGCCAAACCTCCGCTTCCTAATCAACAACAGCTTCATTCCTTATTTTCTAATGTTACTTTACCGAATCCTTCTCGATTCCAGAAACTTCAGGATTCTGATGACCTTCCGCCAGCTCAATCTCAGTTCTCTTCAGTTTTGTCGTTGAATCTCGATGCTGATGCTGATGTTGCCGATGTTGCTGAAAAGGATTTCATTCTCAGTCAAGATTTCTTCTGGTAAATTTTTTTTCCTTTTTTTTTCTTTCGATTAGAAAGATATGGGTTTGAATGGAATAAGATGTAGAGTAGCCACTGGGATTTGAACTGGTTCCGATTGTGCCCTTTTTGGTCCCTTGATGTTCCAATTGGGACGGGGAACTGATTATGGTGTAATTTATTGATTGCTTACTGCCCAAATTTTTACATTAGTTAGGTTTTGATTTTTAAACTCTTACATCTAATTCCTGATCATATCTTTGTATTGGGGATCTTAGTAGCTTTGTTGGTTGCCTAACTTAACTCGCACCTTGTTGGTAAGGGTTTGATTCCCCAACTTGTAATCCCCTCCCCCGATTTTTTAAATATAAAAGATCATATCTTCACATTGTATCCTCTAGTTTTGTTTTCTACTTATAATTAATTTTTTGGAATGCAGTACCCCGGATTACCTAACGCCAGATGCACCTGCAATTTGTAATGGGCTTGATGGTGATAAGGTAATTTCTTTACCAGAGTGTGTTAAAAATTGTGACTTTTTTTTCTCTATGACAGGCTGTTGTTTCAGTATGTCATACTGTGCGCTTCCCTCTATTTTTTTAGGAAGATTATACTCCTTGTCCCAAATCACCCGAGAAGCTTCAAAGTGTATCAAGAAAGAGGCCGCGACTAGGTATGAATTCGTTCTTTGGTGTCCATTTCACTTCAATTTTCATTTGTGGAATCGTTACTGGCTCTGTCAAGTTTTTAACTTTTATCATGCAAAATCTCTTCTTTCTTTTCTTATTTTTGTTCTACTATTGAGGCATAACAAAGGCGTTGAGTAAGGTGAGGTGACAAACTAATAGCACATTCGGATATTGAAGAAAATTAGAACAGAATAATCTTTGAAAGTTTAAGACACTATAATGTGTATGAATATCCCTTGCATTATCAAGCTTCTATTTTTAGCCGTTCTTTTTGTTAGTGTCAGACACCTTTGAATCTCGAGATCTCTTTCTCTCTCTCTCTCTTTCCACTTTAGCATGTTTTGAAGTTTGTTTGCACAATTATCTTCCATAATTAATCGGAAAATTGTAAATTAACTTTCTTATGGTCTCCTTTCATGATGCCCATCTTTACAGCGTCGGTAAGGCCTTTTAGTTCCGATTTATCTGGACAGCAGCAGCCAGTAGATATTCCTACAGATACTTTTGGGACAGACGAAACGAAATCAGAAAAGATAAGTGAGTCAGAAAAGGGTCCCAGTTATGTGTCACAATCTGCTATTGCTTTAAGATATCGAGTCATGCCTCCTCCATGCATTAGAAACCCTTATCTCGGGGATGCTTCCGGGATAGATGCTGATCCTTTTGGGAACAGGAGATCCAAATACCCAGGTACTGGTCAGTGAATTTGAATAATTGGTGGATTCTATTTTCTTTGGAACAGTTTAGTACTTCAAAAGAAAATTAGAGTGTGATCTCTTGTTCTTCGTGGCAGAATCATTGTGTTGTTTTCTGTTAAATTCCTAATGGTACTCTTTCTTTGATCTGTAGGTTTTAACCCTGCAATTTCTGGTAATGATGGTCTGTCACGGTATCGGACTGATTTCCATGAAATTGAGGTATGTTTGATGCTTGTATTCTTGACTCCTACTAATACTTTCTTAATTTTTTTTCTGGACCTATCTAAGACCCTTTTATTCTTTCAGCAAATTGGTAGTGGGAACTTCAGCCGTGTTTTCAAAGTCTTTAAGAGAATTGATGGATGTATGTATGCAGTGAAACATAGCACTAAACAGTTACATCAAGACACAGATAGGTGATATTTCCTTTCTTTCAACACTCTGGCCTTTATGATATGAAATCAGAGTGTGTATTTTTCTTGACATATCATATAACTAAAAGAAACATTTCCTTAGTTATTTTCTGATATCCTGTTGGCCATATAATTGGTAGCATCTAATAGCGGTGGAAGTTTGGGGTGAGGCTAGAGTGGTATTGCTATGGGGTTTTCATGATATACGAATTAAGAATGCAATAGAAAATATCCTACGTCCATAGTGTATGTGTACTGTTTCTTACATTTGTCATACCGTATTTTCTCCAAGATGACATTTTCAATAGATTTGAGCACATATTTTTGGAAAATGTCTTCACAAGGTGAATCTTATGTGATGCCAAACATGCTGTTTATATTCAATATAGTTCAGCCATATTTATGCATCTAAATTGTGTTCTTCCAGGAGAAAGGCTTTGATGGAAGTGCAAGCATTGGCTGCTTTAGGTAGCATGCTGGTCTACTTTTGTTGCTGATATTATCATTTGAACTACCCCAGAGATTATTGTTTCAACATGTTTTGCTTTTATATTACAGGACCTCATGAGAACGTAGTTGGCTATTATTCATCTTGGTTTGAAAATGAACACCTTTACATCCAAATGGAGCTCTGTGACCACAGCTTATCCAACAAAAAATATTCTGAACTATTTTCGGAGGTAGAAGTTTTGGAAGCCATGTATCAGGTGCGGCTCTTGTTGGAATCTTTAAGAGCTACTTTTGTGTCATGTACTGAGTATGACCGTCTTATAAGTCTGTGAAAAAAAGTTAGAAGGAAGATATATATCTTGCAAACCAATTATACTTCATCGACCAAAGAGATAATTTTTGACTATATACATAAACAATGATCATATCACCAATTATGAAACTTCAACTGCTAAAATAACTGTGGTTTCCATCTGTTATTTAGGGGAAGCAACTGTAGCAAAGTCAGTACCTAATCCACCCTCCTAATACTTGCAACATGCAGCATACAACATGCAACATTTCATAATGCTTTAAGGCGTTTCATGGAAATACGATATTCAAATCTAGTTCCATTTTGTTATTTACACTGGAAGGGTGTTACTTTTGTAACTTGATTCTCATTCAAATGCATAATGTTCCCCAAATATCCTGCATTGAGTTAGTGCCTGTTGATTTCACATGAGAAAAGAGGATCAGACTATAGGCTGTTAAAAAAAGAAGAGAGGATCAGCCTTATATCTGTTATAGAAGCTGATACCATTGACTGTATATGTGATCCAAATAACCCCCTTTTAGGTGGTAGGGAAGCTGTTTTATATCATGTATCCTGGGATTTATTACTATCCTCTAGCTTGAGATATGACTGGAACTGGCTTTCAATTTTGAGATGCCGAAGACCTGTATAGTAAAATATTTTGAGCTTTTAGTCCTGATCTTCTTCGAAATGCTTAGAGTTCACTCTTTGTCTACTAACCACATTTTGCTGTTGACTTCCCTTTGCTTGTTTTTGTTTGTGTATCTGGGTATTTTATTTGTGGGGTGGGAAGGCTGAGGAAAAATGGTTTTTCAAATTGAGGTCAAAATATTGATACTTGAGATGCTTTCTGATATGCAGGTAGCCAAGGCATTGCAGTTTATACATCAGAGAGGGGTAGCTCATTTAGATGTAAAGCCAGATAATATTTATGTGAAAAATGGTGTATATAAGCTTGGTGATTTTGGATGTGCAACTCTTCTTGATAAGAGCCAGCCTATTGAAGAGGGTGATGCACGTTATATGCCCCAAGAAATACTTAATGAGAACTATGATCATCTTGACAAAGTTGACATATTCTCCTTGGGCGCTGCAATATATGAACTTATTAGAGGGTCTTCACTGCCAGAATCAGGCCTTCATTTTCTAAACCTTAGGGAGGGGAAATTGCCTCTTCTTCCGGGTCACTCCTTGCAATTTCAGAATCTACTCAAGGTGCTAACTTCTTCCCTTTTACTATGTTAAGAAGTCCGTAGATGGTATTTTCCTATATGCTTCATATTCATATGACTTGATCATCTTTCATATTGTACAACCAGCATGGTACCTGAAGGTATCAACTGTAATCTGCACAATATACCATATATTTTAATTCGAGTATATCTCAATATAATTAAGCTGTAATTAGGTAGATGATATATTTCGTTGTCTGTGTCCATGTATGATAAAGCTAATCCATAGTATTCTGTAGAAGCAATTGCTGATTCTGTATGTTCAAATTGTAAATGTTCTCAGGCAATGATGGACCCAGATCCAACACGCCGTCCTTCTGCAAAAAGCCTTGTGGATAATCCAATCTTTGAAAGATGGCAAGGAAATGCTAACAAGTAGATATCCATGTAAATCACTGTTTTCTCGGATTTGTCGAGAACTACTTTTGCCAAAGCTGCAGTTTCTCATGCAGCATTCTGGTGTTGACCTATAGCCATATCTGTTAATAAAGATAAAGCCTCATGCACCAAATTTTCCCATTTTGATGGTGCTACTTTTGCCAAATATTGTATCAAGAGGAAATGTTGTATCCTAATTGACCTGCAAACTGTGGTTTGTATGTCAAAATATGGTATTTGGTGGTTTTAAGCTGATTAATTCAGTATTGGTTTTTGGTTTTGGTAACTCACATTTGTATTAATCACCAGTAAAATAATTACATAATCATGGCAAGTTTAGACTCACTTGCTATTTCTCAAGATGGAAAATACTACAAAATTCAACAGGAAATTACAGTTTCACATTTAAAATCGCTGTGAAACTCATTAATTTTATAAATATATTAAAATAAAAATTAACTAATATACTTGTTTATGTAATCATAGTATTTATTTTTAGACATGTGATTTCATATTGTGATATATAATCGATATGAAATCATGAAATGAAATCAGCGTTTAGATATGTAATTTCACATTGATTTCATCTCATGATTTTATACCAAATGAATTTTCCAAAAATTGACCCACAAATTTATATTTTATAAAAACAACCCTACATTTAGAGTTTGTTTGATATTGCTGCTAAAAAACAACTTACTTTTAGAAGCACTCTTTTAAAATGCCTTTTAAAAATGTGCTTTAGAAAAAAAACAATTTGTGTTTGACTAATTCATTTAAAAAGTGTTTTTCATAAGCAAATTGTGTTTGACTAATCTTTTTAAAAAAATGCTTTTAAGAGTCAAATTACAAAAAAGACAACTGTTAATGTACTTCTAATATTAAAATTATTTTATAGAGATAAACTATTTTAAATATCTATTATAAAAATACAATTAATTTTTTATTTTTTTAAATTAAAATTTACATGTTTAAATTTTCAATCAATATTATACCTTTTTGAGAGGCTGAAATCTTTAATTGTTATTTTTTTCTTTTTTCTAAGCTTGAAAAAATATTGTTGTTACCTTTTTTCTAATTCTATAAAATAATATATAATATATTAAATAATAATATATAAACGTAAAATAAATTATAAGATTTATTATATAAAGATAAAAATAAAATTCTTAAATGAAATTTGACCAAATTTAGGAAATATGCTACTTAATTAATAAGAAATATATTGGTAAATATGTATATATGAAAATGATATTTTAGTCTTGAGAAAAATAATTTTTTTTCTACTTCTGCTTTTTTTAAAAAGCAGAAATTGTTAGCTTCTTTCCAACAACAGAAAAACTGCTTCCGCCATTTAAAAACACTATTATTGATTTGCCAAACACTTAATTTTTCAACAAAAGTGTTTTTCCCCCCTCAAAATAAGTATTTCTGGCGTCCCAAGAGCAATGCCAAACAAACTCTTATATCTACTAACCATTTATTTCATATATAAATAAAATTTATAATTCATATCATTACTTTTTAAACCATTTATATCTCATATAACGATTAACAAAGAATTTATTATTATTTCAAATCAATTTCTACTTTACCATTTATATTCACCAATTTTATTATTTTTTGTCAAATTTATTTACCAACCAAATTGATCAACAAATGACTCAAAGTAACAACATTGGTTTATATTCTCAGTCATATAATCGAGAAATGCAAGTTCAACGTGAGAAGATAGTTTGTACTATGTGAGAGGATTATATTAAAGACTAGTACACTACAATTTATGTTCAATTTTATTTTTTATTGAATTAAAGTTTGATTAATAAATGTTGTATATTTTTAGAATAACATTGTGATAGTGTATTATGCAATTTTATAAACTTTTGATTATTTTGGTAAAGATTGTATAAAAAATTAGGACAATTTTAATAATTTTACCACTTACGAATTTTTTATATTTAAGAAAAAATATAATATTTCTCGACTCTCATGAACTTTACACCTTTTATTTCGACATATACCTAATTAAATTTTATCCTAATTATCCCATATATTTGACTATTTCATAGCTTTTACCTCCTTTTAACGATCTCAACCCAAGGATGTATGATATGCACTCGTTGTTGCAAGGACATTTTTTGTCTACATGGTCCTTTTTTTTTTTATAGGTAAAAGATTTCATTTATCAAGGGAATATTTTTAGCTCAAGGAAATAAAACAAAACAAAATTGTCACACATGAATTGAACATAGTCTCGAGCTTAGGCCTCGTTTGTTTGTATTTAATAGAGGTTTTAAATTTAATTATTAAGATTCAACTTATTTAATGTGTTTGTTTTATGATCTGAATCTTAATTATTAAGGTTTAACCATGCATTTATTTTATTTCCTTAAATGTAACACACAGTCTTAACACCATTCAAACTTATTTAAAACAATACGCGTTATTACTTCCCACAAAATTCTATAAATTGATCACTTTTTTAATATTTTAACAAAAATATCTCAAAATACCTAGAGTGGATAAAGGGAAAAAAGAAGGAGAAGGAGGAAACAAATATATATAAATTGAGCCCTCTACCTTGGTATAAAAAAGGGTAAAAAATAACTTCTAACTTTCCTTGCAACAACTCCACCATAGCATATATAGGCATAATAGGTCAGTGTTTTTTCTCAATTCTATTTATATCTCAAATATTTTGTGATTTTTTTTTCTTTCTGTTTTCTATTTTTTGTTTACTTGTGCTTATTTGCTTATAACTAGTAAAGTTGATTCTATTGTTCTGTACTATTTTTAAAAGAGACTTTAAAATGAACTTCTTTAGTGTTGATTTTTGAGGATATTAGTGTTCTTAATTATATGAGTATTCATTGTTTTTCTTTCTAAATTATGTTAAATAGGTGATCTTTTTTGTTTTCAATCTTGTAATGTTCTAGTGCTTGAACTTCTTAATTAGTTGTAATGTGTTAATTGCAAAGTGAAAAAAAATGTAATTAGATGAGGGTTCTAGTTTGGCTGTGACACTTTTAATATTAGTTATGTGTGAAATTTGATTTGATTAAAGATACCTTTTCAATTTAATTTTAACAAACCTTAATGCATGTGAGATGTTTGTTGTTGTGTTTATTTGGTTATGGGGAGGTTATAAGGCATCTAGATAATTACCACGAACTTGATGACTTGTTTAATCAATACAATTAATTACCTCAATTATTATTTTGATGAGAAAGAAGAAGAACATGAAAAAGTGCTAGCTAAAATAAATGGACCTAATTGGACAATTAAAGATTTCGCAAATAATGCACAATATACGTGAAGAATTTGTAATTCACAACTACTTTAAAGAAGAAGAGATATTTGAAAGTTTAATATTTTCATTATTTGAAACATATTACTTTCATAAGGGCACTGAATCAAATCGAATTAGTTTTGTTTGGGGTTTGGTGCACGTTTTTTCAAAATCGAAGAACCGATTTGAACTTTAACAAAATCGAACCGAAGAATCAAACGTCCACCCCTAGAGTAGGTCTTTTATATTTGACATGTTCTATATAAAGTCATTATAACGAAAAAAATTATATGTTAGGTACTAAAAATCATATATATAACAATTAAGCACAAATAAATAAATTAAAACTTAATAAGAATTGACATGATTGAGTTTTGACTCACATTTTAACCCATTTCGATTCAAGTAGCTTTTGGGTTGGTCAATAACCCGTCCATCTATAAACTCAATCCCATCTTCATGACCCGCCCAAATTCAGTCAAACGCGCCCATTCTCTACCTAGAATATATACCACTAAGGGGTTGTTTGGTTTGAATGCAAGTTACGATGAGATTAATTATGCAACACTTAGTTATGATGAGATTAGGTATCCGGGTATTATTTTTTAGTGAATGTTTGGTTGTTGTATGAAAAATAATATAACTTGCATAATTTCTAAGAGTAAGTTGTTTGTTTACAAAAATACCCTCCATAACCATAAGTGTGAAAAATGATGTATAAAAAGAATTAAAGGGGTATTTTTGCCAGATAATATCCCATATTATTACCCAAAGACTGTACTAATTATTAATCATGGAATAAGTTATCCAAAACTTTATAATCAAACAATATATTAAATGGTATTAAAAATTTATCCCGAAATTATCTCCTTTTATCGACCCAACCACATCCTTACAGAAATAAGTTAGTTATTTTTCAAAGTTTAGTTACGTATATTGATCATTAGTTAACAAACAATACATATGATGAGATTCGAAAAAACAGGACATATGTGGGTTTGAGAAATTAGAGAGGATGCGTTAGACGCGTTTGTCCATTGATATGTTTATTGATCAATATGGATTCTTAGGCCATTTTCTTCTCTTATAAATAAGATACATTTTTCACACATTTTAAATAAGTCGATTTTGGTATCAACTTCCTAGATCGGTGTAATAAGAGAATTGTAGTGTTGGGAAACGCTTGTGCGAAAATTTTGTAATTGATTGAGTTCTGAGGTGTTTGATCTCAAACTCAATCAATCATTCATAAAAAAATTCGTTGGTGTCTCCCACCTACGTTTCTCTTCGTTTTTTTCTTTCTCTTCTCTTTTTTTAAGCAGCCAATTCGTTGGTGATTAAGTTTACATGTTGATTTGAACTCAACCAATTTTAACTTTGCATGATTTGATCAGTTTTCAAAACAAAGGAAAAAAAATATTTTTTTTTTCATAAATTAAAAAAAATAAAATGGGGAGCAACATTGAGGATAACCAAGATGATGTTCCTATGGAGCTACAACTCAAGGGAAAGAAGGCTTCGAGCCAGAAGTTGAAACGACATGACTCCTTAGATGTCGAAGCTAGCAAGATGCCCAATGCCAAACAGGTGTGCTAGCTACCTCCTTCCTAATCCATTATGAAATGAAAGATGAGAAATGGTATTGTAAGTAGCAGAGTGGCCTTGCTGTTATGATCCACTGAGATTTAGCCCTTTATGTTTTTGTGGTTGAGCAGGTAGTGGGATTGTCTGTGCTACTAAAACTTGCATTCCAGAGCATAGGAGTGGTGTATGGAGATATTGGAACATCACCATTGTACGTGTTTTCATCCATCTTTCTTGAAGGAGTAAAACACGAAGATGATATACTTGGTGCTCTATCTCTCATCTTGTATACGATCACCTTGATCCCTGTCATCAAGTACGTATTCATCGTTCTCCAAGCTAATGACAACGGAGATGGTAAGTACTTTTCACCTACACATTTTTACAATGCTTTAATTTCCTTTTTAACTCATGATTTTGTTTTTAATTTCAGGTGGTACGTTCGCCTTATATTCATTGATATGCCGATATTCCAAGGTGGGATTAATTCCGAGTACAATGGCAGAAGACAGCGATGTGTCGACTTTTAAACTTGATATTCCTGATACACGTACACGTCGGGCATCACACCTTAAGTCGATGCTAGAAAACAGCCAATTCGCGAAGTTCTTTCTGCTAATTGCAACAATGCTTGGTACTTCCATGGTTATTGGTGATGGTGTCCTAACGCCCTGTATTTCAGGCACGTCGTTGATTTCCCTCTCTTTTATTCTAACAGAACGTTACAGAGTTTATGATACTAATAAGCTAATTTTTTTTTTCATTTTTCCAATTGATGTGATCAGTTTTGTCTGCAATTGGAGGAGTTAAAGCAGCTGCTCCAGAAGCCATGACTGAAGGTAAATTTTGCATCTGTTAATGAAAATTGCAACTTCTTTATCTGTTTTTATTCTCGATTTACTAATCGTTTGTTTTGTTTTCGTGGGATGCAGGCAGGATTGTTTGGCTTGCAGTAGCCATCTTGATAGTTCTGTTCATGTTTCAAAGATTTGGAACTGAAAAAGTTGGTTACACATTTGCACCTATACTTTGTTTATGGTTTGTATTGATTGCTGGTATTGGAGTTTACAACTTCGTGATCTATGATATAGCTATTTTCCGAGCTCTTAATCCTATGTACATCGTATCCTATTTCCAAAGAAATGGAAAAGACGCTTGGATTTCCCTTGGCGGAGTTGTTATGTGCATAACAGGTAACAATTTGCTTCCAACAACCTTGAAATTTTTACGAGTATCAATTGAGAAGAGAAATAAATGACATTTGAACAAAAAAATTTGCAGGAGCTGAGGCACTATTTGCTGATGTTGGTCATTTTAGTGTTCGATCTATTCAGATAAGTATGTGCTTTGTCACATACCCGGCTCTCATATTAGCATATCTCGGTCAAGGTGCCTATTTAATGAAAAATGCCGATGATGTTGCTAATACTTTCTACGCGTCCATACCAAGTAAGTAAAATTGCATTGATAGTGTAAAAGTTCTTTATAATTTTAGTTACTTGTGTGTAGTTATGTTTCTCTCATGAAGGGAAATGAATTAACATCTCGTGCTCCTTTGTTTTTCTGCTTTATAAATGCAGAGACTATATATTGGCCAATGTTTGTCATAGCTGTATTAGCAGCCATCATTGCAAGTCAAGCTTTGATTTCCGGGACATTCGCTATAATCCAGCAATCTCTGGCGTTAGGATGCTTTCCTCGTGTTAAAATCGTGCATACATCAAAGAAGCATCATGGACAAATCTATATTCCTGAAATCAATAACCTTCTCATGATCGCTTGTGTTCTTACCACTATTGGATTCAAGACTACTGAAAAGCTTGGCAATGCTTATGGTAAGGCAACTAATTAACTCTATTTCTTCTACGGATTTAACTTATATACACTGACAGTGTAAACTAAACATGTAAATGCAGGGGACTTGCCTTATTTTCCATATTAATTATTAACTCGATCTCTCTATTGTTCTATTACAGGAATAGCAGTGGTGTTTGTGATGTTCCTAACATCATGCTTCCTCGTACTAGTCATGATCTTGATATGGAAAACTAACATTCTTCTTATTATCGCCTATGTTCTAATCATTGGTTCGGTTGAGCTTGTATACCTAAGCTCAGTCCTTTACAAGTTCGAACAAGGTGGTTACCTTCCTCTGGCTCTTGCTATGTTCCTAATGTTTGTCATGTACGTATGGAACTATGTGTACCGTAAGAAGTATCACTACGAGCTAGAACACAAGATCTCTCCCGAAAAAGTTAAAGAAACAATGGATGCAACTAGTTCACATCGCCTTCCAGGTCTTGCCATTTTCTACTCTGAACTAGTACACGGAATCCCACCAATCTTCAAGCATTATGTTGAGAATGTACCTGCTTTACACTCTGTCCTCGTGTTCGCTTCTGTCAAATCACTTCCCATAAGCAAAGTGCCACTAGAAGAAAGGTTCCTCTTCAGAAGGGTGAAACCATATGATCTCTACGTGTTCCGTTGTGTGGTACGTTATGGATACAATGATATGCGCAATGAGGAAGAGCCAATTGAGAAGTTATTGGTAGAAAGGCTAAAGAACTTCATCAAGGAAGATTACATGTTCTCAATTGCAGCAAATGGAGGCAATCAAGGAGAGACTGCTTCCTTAATTGAGAAAGACGTCGAAGTACTTGAGAGAGCTTCTAACATGGGAGTGGTTCATTTGGTTGGAGAACAAGACGTTGTCGCGTGCAAGGGGTCTGGTGTAGCAAAAAGAATGGTGATCAATTATGCATACAATTTCCTCAAGAGGAACTTAAGAGAGAGTAGTAACAAAGTATTCGATATCCCAACGAAACGCATGCTGAAAGTTGGAATGACATGTGAGCTTTAGGATGATTTTTTTCTAAAAAAAAGTTAAAGGTTTGAAATAAATGTGCATTCAGTTGAAGGAGAACAAGGAATGGCACCATACATGTTTCAACTTCCATCATCAAAAGGTGCTTGCACAAGAAAAAATAATGTTTTTGTTAATTTCTTAGTTTTTAATTTGTTTGTTTGTTTGGATTTTGTATGGGATAAGCTAAGATAAGCTAAGTACTTATGAGATTTTGTAAGAGAATAAGCTAAGTATTTGTATTTTGTTTTTTCTTGTTTCAAAGAAAAGAGAAGATCAAGATATGTCTAGATAAGAAAACAACATAGGTGTAGTTGTTTTTGGCTAGCAAAACATTTTTGTTATTATCTTGTACTATCTTGTAAACGTTTGTCCGTTTCTATATGATAATTAATCTAAGAATAAATCGTTTATAGAAATACTATCTTCTTTGTGTTTTTCTCTTAGTGTGTAATGTGTATGTTCTAATTTTTCCTTACTAATTTTTCCCCCAATGCACAGGGGCGGAGCTACAGTGTGACAAGGGTGGTTAGACAAACATCATTTACCGGAAAATTATATTGTGTACTTTCTATTTCTGTTGAAGAACATGTATTGTTTTATTTATATGATGATAGTTCAACTTCATTTAATGGAATTGCTTAAGTTATGAAGAAGAAACTTAATAATCCTCCAAAATTTGTCACTTTGTTGCAAGTAATTTGAAATTTTATTGAAGTAATAGTACTCAAACATTGAAAAAACTTGATTCTATTATAATGTTCTATCATTGTTGACTTTAGGTTTAAACTACAGAGTTGTCTCTAATACTAAGGTTAAATAAGTACCATAGATTCATGTAACTTTTGATCAAGTAGTTACTGGTCAAAGTTTGTGTGTTAAAAATTGAGTTTTGATGATTAACAAACATGATGAAATTGTGTTAGGTAGTTGTTGCAAGGCAAAGAACCTGGTCCTATTAGTTCGCTCCTGTATAGCGCCAGACTCTTAATCTTAGTAGTTGTACGAATCACTTTCGTGGATGGGATAGGTGTTAATTTCCTGCATGTTGACCTAACATCCCTCTATTGATAGATCTTTAAGAAAAAAATGTTTCTCTGTTTTGCTCTATGTATGTCCTTGCATGGTTGGTTTTTCAGATAGAACTATGGCCCCTTTGAATATGTGCTAGAACAATTGTTGGCTTCTAACTTGTTTTGTGTTGTGCAAATGGTTTCTTTTCTCTGTTGAACAACCGAGATATTGAACAACAAACATTTGAAACAATTCCTTGCCTCGCCCTAAGATGAGTGGAAAGGTTGATTTGACTCGAATCCTGAACTTGATCTTGAATCCTACATCGGTTAATGATGCAATGGGGAAAGTTTTTCTTTTTTCATCAATGTTGGTACAGTTGAGGGTCATACATGCATTCCCAATGGGCCTTTTATTTACCGTAGCTCTATAATCCACCCGTCTTCCCTAGTCCTTGAAAGTCCTCCAAGGGCGTAGCACTCTTTCTTCTGTATTGTAACGACCACTTGATAGTTTTTTTTCTAGCTTCTGTGTGTAAATTGAAAGTTGTCTGCAATTGCTGGTTGACGAGATATGAGTGTGATGTAGTGAGTAGTTAGTTAATTCACTAGATGATCAAGGGTAGTATAGACATTTTGTATTGTTTGTTATAACCAATTCCTTTTAAGTTAGTTAGTTAGTTAGAAGATAGAATCTATAAATAGTATTTTTCAGCATTATAACAATTAGTCTTTGAGCTCAAACAATGAGAGTTTCTCTCCTTCAATGTTAGCTCTTTGTTAATAGAGATTTTGTGTTAATTCAGCTTCGTTCATTCACGTTCATGGTATCAGAGCCACACACAGTAATTACTGTGATAGGCGATTTCAATCGAGGATCATAGAATCGAGTTACAGATTCATCAGTTCGTCAGTTGATCTACAGCTTTTACGCAAGTTCTTGGGTGAAATCTGTAGGTAATTGATGAGTAATTAGCTCCCGCAAACAATTGTTGATCAACAGTGAATCAGGATGACGAATGAGAGAACAACTGCAGATTCGATTCAAGGCAACAATGGTGAAAACACAGGTGTATCAATGTCGATACCTAATTCTGTAATTGGGCAAGGTATTGACTACAATCATCCTCTTTTTCTTAGTCCTACAGATTTAAGTGGAGTGAAATTTATTTCATTTCAATTACTTGGAATTGAGAACTACTCTCTATGGAATAGATAGATTACACTAGCATTGTTAGGGCGCAATAAACTGGGGTTAATTGATGGAACCTGTAGTAAAGAGATGTTCAGTGAAGAATTGTGGGGACAATGGAAGAGAGTGAATGTTGTAGTACTATTCTGTTTGATGAATTCAGTGTCAAAAAGTTTACTAAGTGGAATTGTATTTGCTACAAGTGTTTCTCATGTTTGGAGTGATTTAAAAGAGAGATTTGATAGAGTAGATGGGTCGAGAACCTATAGTCTTCATAAAGACATTGTGTCACTACAACAGGGGACTGCTTCTGTTTCTGCGTATTACACTAAACTTAAGACCTTGTGGGATGAGTTTGAGGCTGTAGTTCCTTCTCCTGAATGCAATTGTGCTAAGTCGAAAGATTTTGTAAGTTACCTGAGCAGACAAAAATTGTATCAGTTTTTAATGGGGCTTAATGAGTACTATAATTAGGCTAGAAGTCAAATTTTAATGATGAATCCCTTACCAATTGTTAATCATGCTTATGCCATGGTAGTAGGAGATGAGAGTCAAAAGGCTGTGGTTTCACACATTAGCAACATGGGGATGAGTGTTAAAAGTATGGATTCTATGGCAATGTACTCTAAATATGTTGTTGGTTCTATTTCAGGAGTAAATCAAAGGTTTAAAAGAAACTCCCTTCTCATTTGTAATTTCTGTAAATGTAAGGGTCATAGTAAATAATTTTGCTACAAAATTGTTGGGTATCCTCCTGATTTCAAGTCCAAAAAGAAGGTTCAAGGTGTTCCTTTAGGCTACAACAGTCCTGCTCCAGGAGGTGTTCATTTAGGTCAGGCTCATTTTTCTTATGGCTTGAATACTAATGTGCATGAAGCAAGATGGGATCTGAAGTCTGCTACTGCACAAAGTGAGCATGGAAAAGCAACAAGTCAAGTAGAGATGAATGTGAAACAATTACTGAAGGGTTGCACATTCACAAAAGAACAATATGATCATAGGCACTGCAACATATGAGAGCAATACCACTTTTGCTGCTCACACTGCAAGTAAATCCTTGTTTATTTCTGAGAACAATGAAGTGTGGATTGTAGATTCTGGTGCAACAAATCACATGGTTTCTAAGATGAACATGTTTATAAAGGGTTCTGTGTCAGAATTGCAGATTCCTAAAATTGTATATCTGCCTAATGGGGGTACTACTCAGGTCACTCATGTTGGTTCTTGTGCATTAACAGATAAGAGTGTTATCTCCAATGTATTTTACTTACCTGAATTCAAGTATAATTTGATGTCTGTAAGTCAGTTGACAAAGGAACTTGGTTGTTCAGTTACATTCTTCCCTAACTTTTGTATTCTCTAGGAGCTTTACAGTGGGAATGTGATAGTGGTTGGTAAAGAAGCAGGGTGTCTGTATACTCAAGGTCCTGAAAGTGATGAAAAGAATACTGTATTGACAGTAGCTCAAGTATCATCTGATATGGAATTGTGGCATCAAAGGCTAGGACATGTGCCATTTATAGTACTAGCAAAAATGTTTGATTTGAATATCAATAGTATGTGTAAAGTTTCCAAATGTTTAGTCTGTCCTTATGCAAAACAGACTAGACTTACTTTTCCATCTAGTAGTATCAAAAGTCGTAACAACTTTGACTTGATTCATGTTGATTTTTGGGGTCCATACAATACATCTACTTTTGATGGCAACAAGTATTTCCTTACCATTGTTGATGATTTTTCCAGAATGACTTGGCTCTTCTTACTTAAACACAAGTTTGATGTGTGTGTGGCATTAAAGGTTTTTCTACAGTATGTTAAGACTCAATTTGCTAAACAAGTCAAAGTGATAAGATCTGACAATGGTACTGAGTTTGTAAACTCAGTTTGTACTACAATGTTTTAGGATTTGGGTATTATTCATCAAAGGTCTTGTCCTGATACTCCTCAGCAAAATGGGGTAGCAGAGAGGAAACATAGACACTTACTAGAAGTGACAAGGGCATTGTGGTTTCAGGGTAAGATTCCATTGAAGTATTGGGGACATTGTGTTCTAGCTGCAACCTATCTCATCAATAGAGTTCCTAGTGGTGTTCTTAACTATCAAAGTCCCTCTGAAAGATTATATGGAAGTAAGCCTAGATTGACACACTTAAGAACTATTGGGTGTTTGTGTCTTGCCAAAAATCTAGTTGAACATGACAGGATGATGCCAAGATCTAAGTCTGCAGTACATATGGGGTATTCAAAGACACAGAAAGGTTATGTTTTATTTGATCTCACTGCTAAGACATTCTTTGTGAGCAGAGATGTTATATTTAGAGAAGATCTGTTTCCTTTCTCACAGATCAAGATGCCTGAAAGTCATTCCTTGTTTCAAAATCCACTACCAGACTCAGCTGTTCTATTTGATACCTCCACTACTCAGTTCTTTCAAACACCTAGTTCTATCAATGATGAACTATCGTGTCTTGAAGGTTCATCTGTGTTACCAAATATTGAGGTTATCTCTTCAGATATTTCTGCTCCAGTTGAGGAACCAGTTCCAGCACTCACATAAACTGTTATGCCAGTTGATCCTAGAAGATCTACAAGAACCAAACATACCCCTTCATGGCTCAAAGATTTTGTCTCCTAAAAAATGCATTCAGAAGTGAATTATCATGTGTGCAATTATATCAGTTACAATCATCTATCTCTTACTTATCAGTCATATATTGCTGCTACATCTTTAGTTAGAGAACCTACCACCTATTCAGAGGCTGTGAAGGACACTAGGTGGGTAGATGCTATGAAGGCTGAGATTCAGGCTTTTGAAGATAATAAGACTTGGGAGATAACTGATCCGCCAACAAGAAAGAAACCTATTGGTTGCAGCTGGGTTTACAAGATTAAATACAAGTCCACAGGAGAGATAGAAAGGTTTAAAGAAAGGTTGGTTGGTAAGGGGTATAGTCAGCTGGAAGGTATAAATTATTAAGAAACCTTTTCACCTGTTGTGAAGATGGTGACTGTGAGGACAATGGTGTCTTTAGCTGCTTCAAGACACTGGCACATTCATCAAATGGATGTTTTCAATGCCTTTTTGCAGGGTGATCTTGATGATGAGATTTATATGCAGCTCCCTCAAGGCTTTGTTAGTCAAGGGGAGAAAGTATGCAGACTAACAAAGTCATTATATGGGCTAAAACAAGCTCCAAGGCAGTGGAACCACAAGCTGACTGAGGCTCTTACTATCCTCAATTTCAAACAAAGTCATTATGATCATTCCCTATTTGTCAATAAGTCAGAAACATGTATTATTATGGTGTTAGTATATGTGGATGATATGATGATTATAGGCAGCAATTTGAAGTTAATAGAAAAGACAGAACTGGAGTTGCAGCAGGCTTTTAAAATGAAGGACTTAGGTGAACTGAAATATTTTCTGGGCATTGAGTTTACTAGGTCAGCAGAGGGCATATTAATGCATCAAAGAAAGTATGCTTTGGAACTTATAATTGAGGTTGGGATGTCAGCAGCTAAGCCTGCAGGTACCCTTATTGATGTTAATGTTAAGCTAACCTCAAAACAGTATGATGAACATGAGAAAGGACATGAAGCTTCTGAAGATCCTTTAGTAGATCAGACAATGTACCAAAGATTAATTGGAAAATTGTTGTATCTGAACATGACAAGACCAAACTTGTCTTTCAGCACACAGAACCTGAGCCAGTTCTTACAACAACCAAAGAAATCCCACATGGATGCAACCTTAAGAGTAGTGAGATATCTGAAAAAACAGCCTGGACAAGGGTTATTGTTTTCTAGATCTTCTGATGAAGTAGTCACTGCATTTTGTGATGCAGATTAGACATCTTGTCCACTTACCAGAAGATCAGTAACAAGTTATGTGGTTAAGATAGGTAACTCTTTGGTGTCATGGAAGGAAAATAAGCAAACTATAGTGTCCAAGAGCTTAGTTGAAGCTGAATACAGGAGCCTTGCATCCACTGTTTCAGAGTTAATTTGGTTACTTGGATTACTTAAAGAAATAGAAGCTGAAGTGCAGCTACCAGTGCAAGTGTATAGTGACAGTAAAGCTGCCATACAGATTGCTGCAAATCCGGTATATCATGAGAGGACAAAGCATATTGAGATCGATTGTCATTTTATAAGGGAAAGACTACAACAAGGTTTGATCAAGGTTAACTACCTTCCTACACAAGAGCAACTTGCAAATGTATTGACAAAAGGGCTATCAAAATATCAACATGAATATCTCTTATCCAAGTTAGGTGTCTTGAACATTTTTGCCCCACCTAACTTGAAGGGGAGTGATGAGATATGAGTGTGATGTAGTGAGTAGTTAGTTAATTCACTAGATGATCAAGGGTAGTATAGACATTTTGTATTGTTTGTTATAACTAATTCCTTTCAAGTTAGTTAGTTAGAAGATAGAATCTATAAATTGTATTTTTCAGAATTGTAACAATTAGTCTTTGAGCTCAAACAATGAGAGTTTCTCTCCTTCAATGTTAGCTCCTTGTTAATGGAGATTTTGTATTAATTCAGCTTCGTTCATTCACGTTCACTGGTTTAGAACCAATCTTAATTTGAATTGAGATATCTTATCTTCTATTGCTCGGACTCTTCAAAAATATCGACAGATGCATGCATGCCAGGTCCTCCAAAAGTAGTACATTTTTGGAGGGCCGGACAAGGGCACTGCAACAATTTTGGGGAGAGTCTGAGCAACATAGAGTTATGTTCCGTGCAAACAGGTCGCGATAGCTGGTACCAAATGAAAATATTGGAATATAAATAATATAGCAAATGACACCGCTTATCATTATAGTGATTTATTGAGTTGTTCACTTCTTCAAATATTGCGTGCGCCACTAATTTTTCATATGCCCATATCTTATGCAATCAAATAATTCTAAGAGATATAGTTGGTATTCATATAACTTTACAAGCAAGCAGGGACGTTAGCCAGCTAGGAGGTGTCTTACTTTTAGCAAGATGCTTTCAATGATTTTTAGCACTAAAATCAAGTCCTTATAATAATAATAAAAAAAAAACTGCATGCCACAATAGGTCCAAATACTAACACACATAACACTAAGGGAACGTTTGGTTGACGAATAAGTTGTCTTGATATTAGTTCCCATACTCTCAAGATAAAAATAACATTACAGTTCCGAAAAAGTTATCCCGTAATTCTATTACCAACCAAACATGAAATAAACTCATCCTAAAATTAATACAGAAATTACTTATCCCATATACCAAAGGAGCCCTAAGGGTGAGTGGAAAAATCAAGAATATTGTCAAGAGTTTTCAATATTTTTTTATCTCTCTCTCTATATATATTATAAACTTTCTAAATGTACATTATGTTTTTTTGACAAAGGGTGTTCAACTGAATACTTTTTGAGTGTAGAGTCCTCACCCTGACAAACTAAATACAATAGTGACGAATTCACAATTTAGGTGCTAGCTATTGAATTATAAGTTAAAAAAACGACATATCTAATATATTAACGATCACATACTTATAATTTTCGCACACATATATACAACACTAATTTAGAATCTCGATCTGATTCTTTGTTGAACCCGCAAACCTGCATTTGGATACGCCACTGACTAAATGTACACACGTAATTATGAATCGAATCCAATAATTACGTGAAAACTATGAAAATTTAGCAAATGATAAGGAATATAGATATTGAACTCATGACTTAAAAAATACAGCTAAATCAGTGCTAACAATTTTGAAAATTGAACGCACCAAATTTAAAATTCTGAATCCGCCTTTTTTTCTGCGCTAATTAATCACATCAGTCAGTTTCTTTTGCAGCCCAACTACAGTGAGACCTGATGATATATCACTCACCTGCAAGAAAATGATTAATTAATTTTTTTGAAGAGTAAATATATTCCTTATAAATGAGCACAACAAGTTGTCTCCTTAATTCTAAAGGTATATAACACAAAAATTCTTTATAAATTATAATGGCCTCGTTGATTCAAATATTTTTTTGATTATTTTAGAGAATATATAATATAAAATAAAATACTGTTTTTAATTTTTTTTTTGTTATACTGAAATATTATTACTATAAAGAATGACTGTTATAGAGATTTGACGGTAAATGAGAAAACTTCGGATAAGAACCCTAAACAAAGTTACTCGTGGGGTATTCATTCTGTACATTTACTATAGATTTGGATAAATTTTTGGTTAAAGTGAAAAAATAAAATAAAATATTTGAAGTTAAAAAGAATATTTGGAAGATTACAGTCTTCAAGCTAAGTCTAGAATTCTTGTATTGGGATTGTTATCTTGTAATGTTAAACTATAATCATTTATGCTATAACATATCATAACTATCTTTTGAATCTTGTTGTATGAAACATCTCAATTGTCATGCAATTTCTATATCTAAAGCCATTTAAGGTAGAATGAAAGCCTTGAGTTAAAAATGTGATATTTTTTCAATAGACAAAAAAGAAAAATAAATAACACATAACAACTAAAAAACAGGATTTAGCGACATACAATTTTTTTTTAGCTAAACAGAAAAATTTGTTGCTAATCTTACTTAGCGACGAATTAACGGTATATTTTCATTAGCTACAAGTAAAATAATGATGAATCAGTGACGAAGTTCGTAGTTAATTCCAGTCTTTTTTTAGTAGTATAAATTGAAACAAAAAGAGTATATTTTACTAGTATATCAAATACTAATAACCAAGCTATTATTTGCAATATTGAAATATATAATTTATGTCTTAAATATTTCTTACCTGACATTGGATCCTGATTAAAGTCCTTTCATCTTGTTTGGAATTATCACAACTAACCACATTTAGCCCTTGTTCAAGTAGCCATCTCAGCACTTTGGACAAAGAAAATATTTCCTCTTTATGGCTATTATTGACATTAATCAAAATCTCCATGCCATCTTCACATTTATTCACTGTGATACAATTATTATTTTGCTGAAAAGTAGTAATAATTGTTGAACTTTTGTTTTGATCATCCAATGAAATAATCTTTTTTCTTGTATTATCCAACTCTCGTATATTCTTCTGAAGATACTTTATATAATTCACAGCTGCATGCATATGATCTGATGCTGAACGTTTACCCTATATTTATAACAAAAATTCACATCATATTATGATTTAAAAATAAAAATGTTCATGGTCTGTGCACAGACTAGGTAAAAGATATTCATACAATCAAGTCATTTAAAAGATAATTGCAAATAATTTTTGCACTAAGCATTGATAAAAAATGATAAATAACATAGTATAATTAGAAGGTAATTGCAAATAATTTTAGTAGTAAGCGTTGATAAAAAATGATAAATAACATGTTAAATTATACTGAATGTAAAAATTTATATTATTGGAGCAAAAGTTCTTCTATTTTTTCTACTCAATAAAACCCTTCCAAAACATAGAAAGAACGACATATAGAGAAACTAGTATTAATATATAACACAAGCTGATATATATACTTAATCTTGGAAACCTTTTTTTTTTCTTTTCTCAATGATCATATATATTCAACATTTTTTTTCAAAAAAATAAATATTATAAGGAAAAGAGGAGAGGGAAATGAAAGTATGCCCAATATTTCAAAATAGATTTTAACTTTTACTTGTCACTTTGATAACATATCAAGAAAAAATAATTTTTTTACCTTAACATTAATTACTTATTCCCAAATCATTTCTCGAGACCAAAGAGTATACATCAATTAATATGAATTTTATCATAAAATACCTATATTAATCATTGTTTCTTAAGGAACGTAACGTCAAAGTCTAAAGTGGTAAGTAAAAGTGAATAGGGAAGGAGTAGTTATCTCACCTTGATGAACTCAATGGGAATTAGAGATCTTAGAGAAGTAACACGATTTGCCATTTCTTGTCTTCTATGCCTTTCAGTATTTCTATGCACAGCTTTCTTGAGCTTATTTGATTCATCATGACTTCTTAACCCCTCCTTAGTCCTATCAAGATTAGTACTTTCAGTATCAACTGAAGATTTATATAGTCGATCACAACTTGTCTGGAGTTGAGCAGGCGTAATAATTGATGTACTACTTCTGTTGACTGAAGATTTATACAGCCGATCACAACTTGTCTGGAACTGAGGCGTAATTGTACTTTTCGTACTGAATGAAGATTTACATAAACAATCACTACTTGTTTGGAGTTGAGGCGTAATAGTTGAAGTATTTGTGTTGACGGTTGAAGATTTATATAGCTGATCACAACTTGTTTGGAATTGAGACGTAATAACTGATGAACCAACATGATCCTTTATGAGATCTTGATTATCTTGTTGGGAAAATCCATTTAATTGGAAATTAGGAATCTGAATCTGAAGTAGGTGGTGGTGATGATCAACATGATCTTCACTAATATTTTGTTTGTTATTAGTGAAGATCTCCCAAAGATAATTATTGTCCATTGAATTAATTATGCTCTAATGGATATATTTTGATCTTCTTTTTGGTATTTTAATTGAAAGATGATAAAGAAGAAGATACGTTAGTTAGGGTTTTGAGATCTCCCTAATATCTTCATAAACAAGAAGATATATAATACACTAATTGTTTATTTGATTTTTTAATTAATGGTACCTATTCATATCTACGCTTCTGGACAAAGAAAATATTTCCTCTTTATGGCTATTATTGACATTAAGCAAAATCTCCATACCATCTTCACATTTATTCACTGTGACACAATTATTATTTTGCTGAAAAGTACGAATAATTGTTGAACTTTTGTTTTGATCATCCAATGAAATAATATTTTTTCTTGTATTATCCAACTCTTGTATATTCTTCTAAAGATACTTTATATAATTCACATCACCCTTCACTTTCAACTCGAAGGTTGCGAGTTCAAGTCACCAAGGGAGCAAAAGGGTGAGAGCTCCTGGAGGGTAAAAAAAAATATATATATATAAAAAAAAATATCTACGCTTCTGGTCCCACCATTTGCTTTCACACTAGCCTTTTAATTTATTTAGCTTCACTCTTTTAATACTTTATAGATGTTGACAGAGCGTAGAATAGTATTTATATCATTAGATTATCTAAAAAGTAAGTTATGATCAACAGATTAAAATGTGGGGCAAATTACAGAAATCACATACTTTTAAGGTAAAATTACAATCTATCCCTTAAAAGTTTATAATTACAGAAATCCTTCAAACGGATACAATAATATAAGCGTTGATACATTTAATTTGGTGCGCGAAATACATTAATCGTTAAGTAAGATACATTATATTTTATACATGATACACTAATCTGATGTGCGAGATACAATAAAATAAGCGTTGATACATTAATCTGATGCACGAAAATAAGGGATTTTGGAGATTTATAAAACCTATAGGAGATAATGGTAATAAATAAACCAAAATGTGAGATTTCTCTAATTTTTCCTAAAATGTATTGACAATGTAAGAATTAGATATGACCTCAAATTGATCGAACTCCAAGCTGGCCTGACCGGCCCAGACCCTTGTCTGTACTCCCTCCCGCCAAACACCCCCAATTGGGTCGGGCTGAAACGGGCTTTATCGAGTTCAATGAGCTAAGTCTGGGCTGATCCGGGTCCGTTGACATCTGACAAGCTTAGTTGTGACGTTGTCTCTTTATTTTATTTGGTTTTGTATTTTGGTTAGTCATTTGCATCTAAATTGGCATAAACTTCCTAGCTGCCAAAGATTCTTAATTTATTTTATGACTATGATGCTTAAGTAAGCAAGTTAGATATTTCAACCTCTATTTTATATTTTTCATTAATATAGATATCAAGTAATATTGCCTATTAAAACTTTAAAAATGAAAAAAAAAGCACTTAATATATACTTTTTCCCCTATTAAAATTTTAATCGAGATATAGTAATTTTCTTTTCGCTTCATTATTCACTAAGCAATCCCTTGAATGCAATGTACAAAGTTGTATTTTCGTGCCTAGTTTTTTTGTCAACAAGATTATAAAAAATACCTCTTTAATAAATATTCTTTTTTTCCTTTCAGAAAGTAGAAATAGAAAACACTAAAAGAATAAAATTGTGAAATAAGTAAAATATAATAATATAGCTAGGTGAGGTGCAAAAGAGTTATGAGTGTTATTATATGTGTTTTTTTTTTCTTTTTCATAATCAATACAATTCAAGAAGTTAAGGAAATTTATTAAATAATTTCAAGTGTTTTCTAGAAGATACATTGCATGTGTATTAATTATTTTGTTATGCCACGACTATCTGGGACAAATATTAATTTATAATAGGATGAGATAAAACCTGGAATTTGATAACCTTTTCAGACATTTTGTTCCAATTTACAGTCAATTTATATAATGATGGGTCTACATTATCTAATATTTAATATAATGCATTACAATATTTTTCCCCATTTTTTTAGGGCAATAATTGACATGTTGATCGAGCTTTTAAAATTTATTTATTAAATTATTTAATTGCGGTCATTGTTCATTCGAAATTTAACAAGTAAATAATGGGAATTGGATATTTGTTTTTGATGGTAAATTCATTCAACTTTCTATAATTCACACAAAATGTACGTAGTCCTTTTTCTTCATTAGTAGTGCAGAAGATTGATGAAAAAGTGTGGCTAAAAATATGTATTATCCTACTGATAAAATAAGAGTATTTTTAATTTGATTCTCCAATTTCGAATGTTATGTCCAAAGCTCTGGAAGAAGTAGGGAGGAAAACGTGAATATCCCGATCTCTCTATACATATAGATTTTTTTTATGGAATGATATGATCGGCTAGCCGTAGCCGCATATCAGCTACGTTCAATGCGGGATTTCTGTTGGATAAGATCTTTTGGGAAGCTTTTGGACTTAGCGAAAAGGGCTCTAAGCCTTCACGCAAGCAAGCGCGAGAGAAGCGGAGAAGTCATATAGACAAACAGTTTAGTGAGTTGGAAACTAAACTCATAGTCCTTCGATCTCGATTTAAAAAACACATATGAATAAACTGATTTTCGAATAAAATTGTCAACTGACATTCCAACTTCCACCATAAGTAAATGTAGGGGTGTACAAAATCGAACCGAAAACCGAGTCAAATTGAAAAAAAAACCCGACTAGTGGTTTTGGTATTGAAAAAAAAATCCGACTATATTTGGGTTGGTTTGATTTTAACTAAAAAAACCAAACCAACCTGACATTATATATATAATTTTTAAATTTTATTTTATACATAAAAATATTTACTTTGATCTAATTTTTAAATATTTCTTATACTTTTTTTTTTATATAGTTTTTATCTTTTAATATATTATTTCAAGTTTGAAACTTAGAATTCTGAATGGTCCAATAAAGATTACAGTCCACATGATGGTAATTATTAAAGTATAATCAATATCAAATTAATACTAATGCAAAAAGAAAATCAATTCAACACTAAGAATGACAATAATATTGAATATTTGTTCTTTAGTTTTACATTGATTTAGACAATTAAAATACATAATCTAATTTTAATTTCCTTTAATATTTAGTCATGTAACTAATACTTATTAAACTTATTTTAGCATGATTTAGTACTTTTAAATTATGATCATTTTCATTATGACTTGTTAATTTGCAAGATTTGTTTTACGCGATTTCATTATTATTATTTTTGTTGGATATTTTAGTGTCATTAATCATATCATATTTTGTGTTATTTTTTTAAGAAACACCTTAGATAGTTGTATTTTGGTAGGACTAAAGAAATATTTGAAGTACAAGTAAATTATATATTTGTATGAATACTTTACCAAAAAAACCCAAAAATATTTGAAAAACCTAACTTTTATTGGTTTGGTTTGGTTTATAAATTTTAAAATCCGACACAAATAATTTGATTTGATATTTGAAAAACCGGAACCAACCCGACCATGTACACCCCTAAGTAAATGTATTATGATAAGTTGACCCCTTCTCAATAGTTTACCATAGTCCCATGGATCGTCACTCCCTTCTTAATACTTTACCATAGTAGTAAATAGTCCCGTGGATCAAGTTCGGTCATCATAAAACGGTGTGTACTATACTTGAGTCCACCAATATTGAAAATGCTCTTCATAGTTATTTCTATATACAACCAAATGGATCATCGATATATATAGAGGAACAACGTTAATATCTTGAAAGATCACTAAATTATGATGAGAAATTATCTAGTAAAGCTATTAAATTTTTATTTTATATTAATAAAATCGTTCAATTTAACCAATATTGAAAATGCCCTCCTCATAGTTATTTCTATATACTACTACCAAATGGATCATCAAAAAATAAAATAATATATATATATATATGAGTAGAGTTAATATCTTGAAAGATCACTAAATTATGATGATAAATTATCTAGTAAAGTTAATAAATTTTATTTTATATTAATAAAATCGTTCAATTTAACTGATATTGAAAATGCTCTTCTCATAGTTATTTCTATATACTACCAAATGGATCGTCTATATATATATATATATATAAAGGAGCATAGTTAATATCTTGAAAGATCACTAAATTATGATGAGAAATTATCTAGTAAGGTTATTAAATTTTATTTTATATTAATAAAATCGTTCAATTTAAAGTATTTATCTATATTTTTATGTCAGGTAATCATAGCTACTGCAAATAACGACTTACAAATTGAGTTAGTCTTCAAAAATTAAAACACTATTATAGAAGCGTCATATGTATTTATCTTAAAACTAAAACTCTAGTATGTAAGTGTGAGATGCGTTATATTTTTTTTTTGGCAATAAACTGTGAATATTACCATGTCAAGTCAAAATAATACAAATTATGGAGCATCTAGACTCTTAATCACCTTCGCAGAGCAGAGTTTCGCAGAAGAGTGTTAAGAATAAACTACATCAACTAGCTACTTATAATCTACCTCGGAAACTACAACTAGATACTTACAATCTAGCTCATGGATATACCCATAGTTTTTTGGACATACCCTATGTATCAACCCTCGACAATTTTTTGCCTTTCTAGACCCCTGTACTCGTTCTATTCTGCCTTGCAACTTCTTTTGTATTTGTGTGATAGTTGCGTCATAGTTTTTAGTATGTTTTATTTTAATTATTGTTTTTGGGAAAAAAATCTGATACATCCCTCCATTTTGTTGTTTGGAGCTGATATGCCTCTCGTGAAGAAAGTGACTCATATATACCGTTACTGTTATACAAATGGCTGAACTAATATAATGTTTTTGTCCCAGTCTTTCAATTTTTGCACTTATCTCATCTTTGATTTCTCCCAACTAAAAAGTGTTGTGACAACAATTTTGATATTTATGTCTCATGAATAAGAATAAATTAACTGTTCGGATTTTGTTCAGTTGTTGTTACGAGATTACTTTCTTCGTCTAAAGTTATAATTATATCATATAAACTTTTTATAATAGAGATAACTTTTATAGAGATAGTATAACATTTAGAATAATTCTGATACAAATAGTACATTGATATTCAATATTTTTCTGACGCCCAAATTAGCATTTACAAAAGAGTGACCTATTTCTTAACACATTCTCTGAGTTAATATCTCAGATGGTCACTCAATTATGCATTCTTCTCTCAGAAAGTCACTCAACTTTGAATATTAACTCAAAAGTCACTCAATTATGCTCTCTTTTCTCAGAAAGTCACTCAACTTTGAATTTTAATTCAAAAGTCACTCTTATCCATTCTTTTCTCAGAAAGTCACTCAACCTATTTAATTGATATTTTAATTAAAGTTTACTGATATAAATTTTTTATTTAAAAACCAAAATTCTAAAAAATAAAAAGAATACCATTTAAATCATTTAGTGACCCATTTAATTTTATTTTACCCATCAAATCAATAAGATGCAAAATTAGCTGCTACTAGATGATACTTTGATCAGTCTTCTTCACAATCAAAGCAGAATTGCCAGAAACACAGCAAAATAAGAGATGATGAAAAACACTGTTCTACGATGTAATCACACTTCTCTTCTTAATTTGAAAGGCAAATTCAATTAGCTTGTTAGCTTTCATGTCCTACAACTAAGCAGCAAATTTTGATTAAATGGGTCACTAAATGATTTAAATGGTATTTTCTTATTTTTTAGAGTTTTTTTTTTTTTAAAATAAAAAATTTATATCAGTAAATTTTAATTAAAATATCAATTAAATAGGTTGAGTGACTTTCTGAGAAAAGAATGGATAGTTGAGTGACTGTTGAATTAAAATTCAAAGTTGAGTGACTTTCTGAGAAAAAAAAGCATAGTTGAATGACTTTTGAGTTAATATTCAAAGTTGAGTGACTTTCTAAGAGAAAAGTGCATAGTTGAGTGACCACATGAGATATTAATTCCACATTCTCTCTATTATTTTTCTGACGATTGTTTTTTTAAGTGAATGTTGAACCATCAAATTTTATCCTGAATGACTTTTTTTTAATTATTATTAATAATAAAAGAAATTTTTAAAAAATGAGTACAAGTAAAAAACATTAGGCCTGACCTTATAAATCATAATGGAGTCGAGACCTTTACTACTACTGACAAACATTATTTATTGGCTAAATTTCATTTTGTAGTATTTTTAAATTGATGAAAAATTAAAGATTACAATTGATAAATAGGTGAAGACGCAAGACAGTATGTAAGCAAGTTAATTAGGGTCCTGCTTTACCCATATTTAAGCTTGTAGTTCTTATTTATTATTTATGGATAAAGCAAGACCCTAACTCGCTTTTGGAGATAATGGTCACTTCTATGGTTTTATGAATGACTCATAAGCTTCATTTGAACTTTTATTTTTACGAAGTATTTTATGAAGGTGAAAAATGACATTGATACTAATTGTTTTTTTTTTTTTTTTACGAAAAATAAAAACATTCGAAGGTTCGAAAAATAAAATTTTGAAGAGTACAAATTAAAAAAATGTTTGGTTAGATCTTGGATCGAGTAAGTAAGAAAATTGGGTGGGTACTAAATTTATTTAATTGGGGCCTGATTTTAAAATCAAACCAATCATAAAATGTCACGTAAAATTTAAATATATATTTTTTATTATCATTAGTCAAATGACATAAGTGGGACAAAAAATGAGCAAAATATCTCTAGAAAAATAGGTAGATAAATAGTATATTAGACCTTTTGCCATAATTCAGAAGTATTTTTGAACTTATTCTATTTACTTTAACCAAGTCCGGACTAAATTGGCTTATTTGTAATGTAATTGTTTGTTTATTAAATGCCAAAAAGAATTCAATTTTATTCCATTAACAGAAATAGTAAATTGTTTTTTCTATGTTACATAAATAAACGAATGGATCAAAGTCAACATATATACTTTATTGGCATGTTGTTGCTAATATATCTAGACAATCCTTTATCCGTTGATCTATCTTAAAAAGTCACTCAACTACTTAATTATATTTATTATTAAAATAAATTTAACACAACAAATACATTTTTTTTATGTCATGTAATCGTCCACATCATAAATAAATAAAATTATAAATTCTATTTATAAAAGCGTGAGATGCGGCAAGTTGCTAATTATACCATTTACGTGTGAGATGAAGGAATTAACATGTTTTTCTTCCATACAAATAAAAACCTCATTTCTATCTAACTCTGAAATTTTCTTCTAAATTTTTTAAAACAAATTGAGTTAATCTCTACCTGTTCTTCTATTATTCAAAATACTTTTCTTCTTCTTAGTTAACTAATCTGTTCCAACAAAATGTTGGGGAATTTCCCCATTTTTTATTACACTTTTTGATCTTTTTTTTTTCTCCTAAATAAATCTTTTATAAATTAAAGATATGTCCAGCAATGAACAAAACCAAGAAGTTCCAGAACATCAACTCAATGGAAAGAAACTTTCTGGCAACTCGTTGAAACGATATGACTCCTTAGACTTGGAATCTAGCAAGGTCCCCGGAGCCAAAAAGGTCCTAACTTACCCAAATTATTTGAATCTTTTTACGATTTTATTTTTGTTCCGCGTTAGATGTCTGGTATCCTCTATGAGTATTCGTGCCTAGAAGTATCACATTTAAAGATTAAATGCTCCCTAGCTATCAAATATGTGTCTTCCTTTCTCAGGGCTTGAACCAAACACCTCACAACTGTTGGGTATTAATTGTCCTGAGTTTCTTATCATAAATAAGTTTTCCTTCTAAGAAAATGTTTAAGATTTGACTAGTCTTTTTCTTGTAGTAAAAAGGTTTAGGACTTGTTCCTTCTAACTTAATCAACATTCACAATGTAGTCCTAGGATTTTGAGAGTTTTACTTATGGCGGAGAATTTGTGAACCTCCTTGTATTCCGAGTGAATCAATTGATGTTATTTCTCTCTATATTTTGTACTCTCATCTACTTTGTGGATGTAGGTCGATTGACCGAACCATGTTAAATATCTGTGTCTTTTGGTATATTTCTCGTTTGTCTTCTTACTCATGGTCTTTCGAGATTTGCTTTGCTAGCTTCCACATGACATCTGATTATTTTGGTCCTAACAACAACAACGTAACCTTGGATTGTAATTGATGATTTTATGTTTTTTTTTTTTTTTAATATTGACCAGGCATTAGAATGGACAGTGATATTGAAATTGGCGTTTCAAAGCATAGGAGTGGTGTATGGAGATATTGGAACGTCACCATTGTATGTGTTTTCATCTATTTTTCCAAATGGTGTAACATACGACGAAGATATACTTGGTGCATTGTCTCTTATATTTTACACTATCACCTTGATTCCTCTCATCAAATACGTCTTCATTGTTCTTCGAGCTAATGACAACGGAGATGGTAACTTTATTTAGGGAAAAATGATAAAAATGTCTTTTTATCTTTGATAGTATATTTAAAGTAGTACTTTAAAACAGAGTACTCTGCTTTTTATTGCAGGAGGTACATTTGCTTTATATTCATTGATATGTAGATATTCAAAAGTGGGATTAATTCCGAGTCAACAACCAGAAGACAAAGATGTGTCGACTTTTAAACTTGATTTACCAGATAGACGTACTCGTCGAGCTTCAAAGCTTAAGTCAAATCTAGAAAGCAGCAATTTTGCCAAGTTTGTTCTGCTAATTGCTACAATGCTTGGTACTTCCATGGTTATTGGGGATGGTATCCTCACTCCCTGCATTTCAGGCACGTAAAAATTTATTCGTATTTGATGTTTATACTAATCTAATAAAATACATGATACATGTTTTCGTGTATTCTTAAAAGATCTCTTGAGTCTTTATGAATATGTCAAAATTGCCTTAATACATGGAATATGTTTCAACACAAGCAAAATTAAGATCTCCTGACCACTTACAAAATGAACTGAAGAAAATGATCTTTTACTTCTCTTATGTAAAAAATGAAGATTTTAGTAAAATAATAATATTTCTGTTTTTTATTTTTTTTTCTATAATTATAAATGAGTTTATGATACTAATTTGAATTTTCCATTTAATTTGGTCAGTTTTGTCTGCTGTTGGAGGACTCAAAGAAGCAGCTCCATCGCAGCTGACTGAAGGTATCTATTGCATATTATTTGGCTAAATAAATCCCCTTCATGCGCTGAATTTTGGTGTATTACAAACGTCATGTCAGCAAAAAATATATATTTTTAGTATAAATGTTCAATAGAAAGAACGTCTTACATAAGGCGCCAAAGTAAAAGATGCATATAAATTTAGGGGGCTACTTATGACTTTAGGGTCGGAGTTTCCTACCTGAACTATCATCTAATAGTTAGCAAAACACACCTCGACTAACGCTAGCTTATATTGTGTTTTGCAGGAAGACTTGTTTGGATTGCAGTAGCCATATTATTATTGTTGTTTATGTTTCAAAGATTTGGAACTGAAAAAGTGGGCAACACTTTCGCGCCTATACTTTGTTTGTGGTTCATTTTCATTGCTGGTATTGGCCTTTACAACTTTGCCAAATACGATCCAACTGTAATCAGAGCTCTTAATCCTAAATACATTATAGATTACTTCAAGAGAAACAAAAAGAATGCTTGGATTTCACTTGGTGGGGTTGTTATGTGCATAACAGGTATTCATTTCCTTCCAATAGCGTTTAAATGTAGAGTTAATGGTCAAAACACACCTAAAGTAGTCCAATTGTTTCAATTTCATACCTGAACTATCAGTTGTGCAAGTTTGCTACCGGAACTATCACCAACTATTTATCAAAACACAACTCAACTATCAATTATTCCTTTTTTCTACCTGAACTATCACCATCATTCAGGTAGAAAACTCGTACATCTGATAGTTCAGGTATGAACTCGAAAAATGGGATACTTTAGATGTGTTTTTTGATCCTACACTCTTAAACGTACTGAGAAACTTCTGATTTACTTGGAGTAAAATAATTGAATAATTAATTGCAGGAGGAGAAGCACTATTTGCAGATGTTGGTCATTTTAGTGTTCGATCTATACAGATAAGTATGTGTTGTGTGACATACCCCGCGCTCATATTGGCATATCTTGGTCAGGCCGCCTTTTTAAGAAAGAACATTGATGATGTTTCTGATACTTTCTACAAGTCCATACCTAGTAAGTATAACATTGTTCCGGAGTTCAAGTTCTATGCAATGACGGTTTAAAAACTAATGTCCAAATCAGATCACGAAGAAGTATCACATCTCTATAATCAGCATTAAGGGGGGAAACTACGATGAAAGTTCTTTACATTGTCGATTCATATAACTTAAATCTTTTATGCCTCATGAGGGGGAAAATGAACATCTGATGCTGCATTTTCTGTTTTACATGTGCAGATGGTTTATATTGGCCAGTATTTGCAGTGGCAGTGTTAGCAGCCATCATTGCAAGTCAAGCCTTGATTTCTGGAACTTTCGCTATAATCCAGCAATCCCTGGCGTTAGGATGCTTTCCTCATGTTAAAATCGTGCACACGTCTACAAAGTATCATGGACAAATCTACATTCCTGAAGTCAATAACCTTCTCATGTTAGCTTGTGTCATTGTCACGCTTGCATTCAGGACTACTGAAAAGCTAAGCAATGCATATGGTAAGCATTTCTTACATGTCAGTGTATACGACTTAAATCCTTCCTTCTTATCGATGGTGTCTAACACGTGACACAAAACTATTTGATCACAGGAATAGCGGTGGTGTTTGTGATGACTCTAACATCGGGCTTCCTCGTGCTAGTTATGATCATGATTTGGAAAACTCACATTCTTTTCGTAATCATGTATGTTCTAATCATTGGCTCGATTGAGCTCATCTACCTAAGCTCGGTTCTTTACAAGTTCACTCAAGGCGGTTACCTTCCACTAGCTTTCGCTATGTTCCTAATGTTCATCATGTACGTATGGAACTATGTGTATCGAAAGAAGTATCATTTCGAGCTAGAACACAAGATCTCTCCCTTAAAAGTTAAAGAAACAGTGGATGAAACAAATTCCCATCGTCTACCCGGACTTGCAATTTTCTATTCTGAACTTGTCCATGGAATTCCACCAATCTTCAAACATTACGTGGAGAATGTGCCCGCGTTACACTCTGTTCTCGTGTTTGTTTCAGTTAAATCACTTCCTATAAGCAAAGTACCCGTAGAAGAAAGATTCCTCTTCCGGAGGGTGAAGCCTAGTGATCTCTATGTGTTTCGATGTGCAGTGAGATACGGATATAATGATGTGCGCAATGAGGAAGAGCCTTTCGAGAGATTATTAGTGGAGAGGCTGAAGGAATTTATACGAGACGATTCCATTCTTTCGATGAATGCAGCAAAGAGTAACAGAGTATCAACAGAACAGAGTATCAATGTGGAATTGGAGAGTGATTGTGAAATACAAGAGGTCGCGACGTGTTCAATGGAGAGAGATATACAAGTGGTGGAGAGAGCTTATAGTGTTGGGGTTGTTCATTTAGTTGGAGAACAAGATGTGATTGCAAGCAAAGGATCAAATATTGTGAAGAGAGTGGTAATCGATTATGCTTTTAATTTCTTGAAGAGAAATTTGAGGCAAAGTAGCAAAATTTTCGACATACCTCATAAACGTATGTTGAAAGTAGGAATGATATATGAGATTTAGCAAGTTAGTAGTAGTGTTTAGTTCAAAATTTTAGTTGAATTAAGGAGATAATGGCGAAGCATCTAATATGTGTACCTCCATTAATCTCCATCCCTCCAAAGATCTTGGACTCAAAAATTTCGTGTTTTCAAAATATTTTTTTTTTATGTTTGAATTTAGTATAATTTGAGAGAATGTGAGAATGTAGAGAATGAATTCGTATAGCATTTTGTTTTGTACTTCTCTGTTTCGATTTGTTTGACTTGATTAGAGGGTTTGTCAATGTGCACCTAAAGGGTAGTTGCTGCGGATTTTCTTTTCAGTATTGTTTCTAGTAACAACCTTATTTTGATTAGTATTGTTTCTTTCCCCTCTTTTGAAATCTTGGTGTTTTGAGGAAGAATATGCTTCATAAAACTTGCTTATTACCAGAATATGACTCCTGTTAGAGTATAAAGGGCAAAATTGTCTTTTGCAAACATTATTAAAAATGCAACATTGTCTATGTATGAACTAAGGCTAAAGCTCCATTAAAGAGTCTTTCCATGTGGTAAAACCTCCTCAAGGAATATAAGATTTTCATGAGGCTGCTCTTGAGCCGTCATTCAAGCGCGAATATCTTTATTTAGGAGAATACTTTTGAGATAGAAAGTCTCAAATTCAAGATCTTCCGCTGCGCAAATTTCCTTAGAAACAAAGTCATAGACACGTAGATTCAGAGCTAAACCGACTACTCCAAAAGCACTCATCCATAAATCGGTTAATATGAAGTGCAAAATTGTTCACTCCACAAACCTGGGACTACATACAAGGATTTATTTATTATTTAAAAGTTACAGGGGTAGATTTTGGAGTGTCCCATATCATTATGAAAGCATAATAACAGGGGAACTAGACCTTAACCTTGACATACAGAACAGAATGAAAGCAATCTATATTTAGGTTAATTTGTTTCATATGGTGTTGCTTTGTCAAAGGTTTGTAATAATCCTCATACATGCAATATCAGGGGCGGCTTAACATGATTGGGGGCCTAAAGCGAAATTTCAATTCAGGGCCTAAAATATAAACAAACTCCATATACATATTTAATTCAAAATTTCTTTTGCTTACACTATTTAGATGAAAATTATTAGTATTTTAATATTGTTTTTTCAGTTATTAGTTTTAGGTAAGATTTTATCAACTCAACATTGAAAAATATCCTTTCGACAATTATTATATGAATTGTTAACATAATTATATAAGTAATATTAATTAAAGATAAGAATTGTTGACAAATATTAATTAAAGATAAGAGTTAGAACCATAAAATTTGACGCAACAAGTTGATGACTTGGTATACCCCATTTTAGTATGCTTGTAGTAATGCTTGAAACTAAAATTTAAAAAGAAATAAAATTTTTTTTAATTCACTTTGTTCAACACTTTTCACTATTAATTCTTATTTTTAACAAAGTATAAAATATGTTAAAGTGGGTAAAATAATACATTTTTAAAAAATTATACTTTTATCATAAATAATCAATATTTTCTATAGAATTTTTAACACATAATTTATTCTTGATAAAAATTTGGGGCCCCCGAAATTTGGGGGCCTAAGGCTTTTAAGCCTTGTTTCCCAAAGCATAGAGCCGGCCCTGTGCAATATATATATATATATATACGGGGAACCCCTTCCCGTGTCGCACGCGGCAAGGAAGCCTTCAAGAGCCCCGCCCGAATAATAATTCAGAATTAGGAGAGGGAGAAGAACGAATACCAAAAGATATTTTATACTCTTTGTTTTGACTCCTCGAATAGAAAGGGTAGAAAAAAGGCAAAATAATAATACACTACATAAGAAAAAGCTGGAATTCGATCTTGGAAATAATCGACTCAAGCTCATCATACCCTTTTTTGTGACTCGACTCAAGCTCATCATAACCCTTTTTGTTCTTTTATATTTTTTATTCTCATCCCTATTAATTTTATTATTTTGCAATGTAAGGTTGTTTCAATGTAATTGAATCTTATTTACTTTTTGCTATTATTGTTGCTCTTACACAAATCACAATATTATTGTCGTACACAAATCACAATATTTATGAAAAGCAAGATGAATAATTAAGTATATACAATATTTATGAAAAGCGAGATAAACAATTAAGGAGGTGTGTGCAGGGAGGTAAGGAGGTGGTGAAGCGGGTGGAAGTGTGAGTGGAGGTGATGAAGGTGAAGCGATACGGTGAAGGTGGAGGAGAGTTGGGGTGAGTTGGAATTGTCCGAATATGGAGGATTAATAGACACATTAAGTGATAATTATAATCATGCAAAGATTATCACATAATTCTACAAATAGCACAAAAATTAATATTAGGCATATATGTATACAAGTACTGAACCAAGATAATATTCTTGTTAGAAATGACTTATATGCATTGTATTCCTCATGTTGTAGTGCATTTGAGTAAATTTGCATATAGACTTCATGAGATGATTATATGAGCATGCCTTAGTTTTGGAGTTGAAAGATTCCTCCTTTAATAAATGTATTTAGGCTCCATGAGGGAGTATTAAGCATGTTCTAGTTAGGAGATGTTAGTTCCTCCTTGAAATGAGTAAAATATAGAATTTCATCCATTTTAGGTTGGTAGATGTAGTTCCTACTCCCTTGTGTTGCATTGAATATGATTAGTTTGGAATTGAAGTTTTCTTCCTTGGTTTTGTGCATTTAGATGTAGTGCATGCGTGATGGGCTGTTAGCTTAGCGTTGTGACTTTAAGAAGTGTTTAGAATCGTCATTCGAGGACGAAACATCCCAAAGGGGAGAAATTGTAACGCCTCGAAAAATAGTAAGCTGAACTAGAGAGTTCTAAAGCTTTTTGTAAGAGTTTTGGAGTGTGGTATGAGGATTAAAAATCATAAAATGACTCCCGTACTTAGAATGGAGGTTTTAGGGGCTAAACGTCGAGGTACGATCCCCCAAGGACCAACCAAAGGGGTCCTTGAGGAGGACCCCAAAGCAATCTTTCAATTCTTATTTCTGACTTCTCCATATTGAAAAGTGTTACTCGTGTTTATCTTTGCTCATTGTGACAACAATTTCAATATTAATGTCTCATGAAATAACAAGATAGTTATCATTTGGATTTCGTTAGTTGTAGTTAAGAGGTTACTTTTTTAAAAAGTTATTGCATATCATGTAAACTTTTTTATAATAGAGATGAGTTTTATAGAGATAGTATAACATTTTGAAAAATCCTCATAGACATAGTAAATTGATATCCAATATTTTCTAAAGCTCAAATTAGTATCTAGATGAGAATGACTTATTTCTTAATTACTACAATTTAATATATTTGCTATTTAATATGGGACTCATGCCTACTTTGTATACCGAAACAAAAATAGCCTTCCTACTTTTGTATACTCATTTATCCTAACACAATTTTATCTCTCCTCTCTTAGCTCCCTAATTCTCTCCTAAAATCACTCATACACATCCTAGTTGAATTTCAAAATTTACTCTCTCCTTCCTAATAGTCATTTCACTATTGCAGGTAGCCATCCAAATTTTCATCGGGTTTAACACAAGATTTTGCAGGTAGCCGTCCAAATTTTCGCTGGGTTTAATACAAGATTTGGAGTCAATAAAGGCTCTATTGCAAAACCTAGAGAAATTGAAGAGGAAAAATATATTCAAGAGTTGAAATACAAGAAAAAGAATGACCCAGTGACATTGTAACAAGTTATGAATAATGCTAAGGCACGCGACATCAAAATAGTTGAAGGAGGAAACAAGAGGTGGTTCATTAGGTCTGGATAAATCTGAAGAATCAAGGTATTCGTATATACCCTAAATATATATAACAACTTATATATTTATTAGTTATTAATTATACACAAACATAAGTGTGAGTTAATTCCATATATACATAACTATATTGAGGTATATCATATCATCAGATATTACTCAAAGTGGAACAAAAAAAAGTTGAAAGTTGAAATACCATTTTGCCCCTACACTAGATTAAAATATTATAAATATTTAGTTAAATACATGTTTAAATAGTAGTGATAATCAATTATTACATTGAGTAAATGGAGAGTTCATGTGTTCAAAGGAGGATTGTTTACTCTTCCAGATTTTAATGGAGGTTTATTGCATATATTTAATATTCTTAAAGTTGTTCTCTTTTATATATTTTGGCCCTTTGAAACCTTCGAATAGTATTATTTAATTTAAAACTTTAAGATGTCTTTTGGTATTCCTCTATTTTTATCTAATATAGATTCATCTTTTTTGTTTCATGAGACTCACATCCAAAATTATCCTTTCATTTTATAGTTAAAGTAGTGAAGCCATCAACATTTAAATATATGATATATCTACCTTAGTCTGATTATATATCACTTTACGAAAATAAAGTGATTTTTCTATTTGATTCATGCTTTAGTTTGACTCGATGGAGAAGACTTTTGAATTTTGATTGGATATGAGAGAAGGTGTCGATAAAAACTTGGAAAATTATGTACCGATTTTGTATTTCTTTTTTCCTTTATATGATGTTATGATTAAAGTCTTAAGAATGATGCGTATGTTATTTTTTTCTTCTATGTTTATTTTTTTTATATTTCCCTATTAGTCTTCTTTAATTTAATTTTCTATAAATTATTATCATAACATTTATTTGAGATTGTTGCATTTAAGTACTCACTACACACATGTTTTTATTGAATTTTAATCGTCCTAACGAATTTATAACATATTGCATGAGACACACGTGTCCAGAAACTAGTATATATATATATATATATAAATAACTGATAACACACAGGTATCAGGATTAATCTCAAACAAACTTCCATCAGAACCGCAATACAGAAGATTGCATAGGTGTGTGTATATATATAAGGGAGATTAGACCTGACCCTATAAATCTTAATGGAGTCAAAACCTCTACTACTATATACCAACACACATGGATCCGGCTCCCTAGCTCTCCATTTTCCTTGTCTCCATTTTTCCACATTACTTTACATTGATGGAAAGTCAGAGATTTAAGTCGACAAATAGGTGAAG